TGAAAAAGAAACAAAAGTTCATTTATTTTTTGACTGTATGTTAAATTAATCTGGATTGAAAGTTTATTTGAATCGTTGTCTGGATGTAAAATAAACCTGAAAAAGAGAGAGATTATTTTTTATTTTGAAAACAAGGACACAGACTGAAGTTTTATTTCTTTGTATGGAAGATTTAAAAAACATAAATGTAAATGATCTAAAAAAGAAACTAAATATCCACCAGTTTAAAAAGGAAGATATATTTTCAAACACTAACTGGACGAACCGAGAAGAAAACGGCTCAAACTTTGACTTTCTAAGAAGTCTTGAGGTCGTCTCTGTGATCTGAACTGAATGTTTGATCCCAATCCAAGAGTCCATACCGGGTTTTCATCTCACTGATTGATCCTGTCGATCAGTTATTGGTCTGACTAACCACTCAGGATCAGGAATCTGAAGAACCAGTATCTGTCCAACCAATCAGAGTTGGTCTCCTACCTTCAGCACAGAGATGACGATCAGTGATTGGCCAGCTTGGACGGCGATAGTGCTCAGCGTGGTGAACGATGGGCGGAGCCTCTTGTCCTCTCCTCCTGCGGTGGTCTCCTGTCCTCCATGTTTGTCCTGCGTCTCTCCGATGGTCATGATGAGACTCTGAGGATCCTGGATTACTGCTCAGTCTTCATCTTCTTCAGGGGGGCGGAGTCAGCTGAATGTACTTCCTGTTTTTGACGGTCTAAGCAGCTGGATCCTCAAACCGCTCCTGGACTAAGACTGGAGACACTCTCTACACACAGACAGGAGAAACTCAGCAAAGACTCATTCGTCCACAGGGGGCGCCCACAACTGTACAACTGTAAAATCCCCTATGGTAGCTTTAATTTAACAATCCTGACTCGTTAAAAGACGAGTTCGTTCAGCGTCAGCACTTTTTATAGAACTGATGAAGTGAAAAGAGTTGATAAATAAAAGAGGAGCTCTCTGTGCAACACGAGACCGAGGAACAGACTTTCTAAAGAGCGAACTCGTCTTTCTACAGAAACAACGAAACACATGGAATCAGAGAAAGTTGTTTTTTAACGTCGTCTTATTTAATATTTTCGAGATGGTAAATAAAATAATCACACACATTCATTATAATGTTTCAGATCGGAGTCGTTCCGGATCCTCTGGGTTTTAGACTGCCCTCCTTTTAACTGGATCTTTACAGGTCAGGTGATCATGAATACAGCCTCTGATTGGCCGACAAATCAAACCAAAGATGTCAGCCTCTGATTAGCTTTGTCAGCTGTTAAAATAATTTATCTGAAGTGACTTTATCTCTCAGGGACTGGACCTGTGAGGTCTCTGAAAACCCTCTGGTGGTCCTCACTGAGGGACTAAAGACTCATGTTTGTTTTTAATTCACTTTGACCTAAACTGGGAGGGTGCAGAAAAGCTGCCGCTCTCACAAAGTGAGTGGATTTTACAGGATCAGCCCCTTAAACTGATGCTGGAAACAACAACACCCTGTCACATACTAACGCACTGACAGTAGAACATGAGAGGATCCTGCTGTCTCATCTCAAGATAAAGAAAGTCCTAAATACTCGATTCTAATTAGTGCTCAGGATTTTAACACTGATTCTCTGGAGCCATTTTTATAACAGAGCTTTAAAACTGAAGTGAAATATTAGATCTTTATTCAGGAGAAGAGTCAGAGGACATCAGCCACGACTGTGCTCCCCTCTCTGTCCAATCACATCTCCAACACCTCGCTCAGGATAAAGCGCTCCTATTTTTATCAAACACTTTCAAACTCAAACACTCGGATCTCTGAACACGCAGAAACTGAAATAAAGAATGAAAAGAAAGAGAAGAATAAAAAGAGTGAAACGCCACGGTACCTGAGACACGACTTCCTGCTGCTGCTGCTGAGAGACAGAGGTCCAAACACTGAGAGAGAGAACACAGCTGACAGACAGACAGACAGGGTGGGGGTGGGTGGGGGGGTAAAAATAGATGTGGTTTCCAGTGGGATTATCACTCAGCTGAGTGACAGAGAGACATCTGCCTCCATAAACAAACAGTCCTCTCTCTCTCTCTTTCAATGACACTCTGAGTAAATATGTCCGACTGTAATAACTCATAAAAACCAACACTCAGGACTTCTCATCCAAAATAACACAGACGGGTCTCCAAACAAGGTCACCCATCATCCTGCTGTTACTTTATAAAAGTGTGAAGGTTGTGTGTTTGTGTGGAGTACTCACCAACTTCAGTATCAGGAGTATTACACACACACACACACACACACACACACACACACACAGGACATGTCATAATTACACAGAACACACCGGGGGCCGAATATCAAATATCTCCATGTGTGTTTTTTTACGTCCTTAAAATGATCATTACTCCTTTATATTCATTCTAGACCAGGAACACTGGCGCCTGATTCGTGTTTTGACCATGTGATATTCTAATTAGCATATTTGATAGAGAAGTGATTAAAGAACAGTCAGTGACCCATGGTCAGAGTCACACGGAGATATTTGAGTTTTTAATGGTTTCAGTATTTCCTCATTTACAGAGTGATAAACAGAGATCTCCAAAGTCCTCCTCTCCTTCTGACTTCAGTCTGTCAACAAAATAAAACAGGAATTTTAAAGGGTCTTTATCTATTCTTCAGTTTTCTGTAAATTAGTTCATATTTAATTAGATATGACCTCATTTACATATTCAAACAGAACATTTGACTAAACTTGTAATATAAAAATATTTGTCTTAATGTTATAAACTCTGGAAGTTTCATGGTGATATCTGTTTGTTAAAATTTTACCCTGTTTACCCGGGGTTTCTCCTACCATCATGGACGCCATCTTGAAAATGACGCCTTTCTAGTGGTCAAACTTTGGTCAACTCTGAGTTTGTTATTAAGGACGTCTAATACTATAAAAAACAGCTGAGAAACCTTTGTTAGATTTTTTAGTCATATTTTTACCTGACTGTTAAATCATCTGTAAACTTTCTAGTGTCTTAATCTATTTTTTTGACTTTTTTGATCAACATTCAATCTTATTTGTTTAGTTTTTATTGTGATGTACTGAGAATTTCCCAGTTTGGGATCAATAAAGTATATCTATCTATCTACTGAACACCCTGTTGTGTTTGTTGAGTGATAATCTGAATATTCAAACAGAGATCAGCGCCCCCCACAGGCCTTACAGAGCCTTACAGACAGTCATGACGGTCACAGGACAATAAGACAAGAGTCAGAGTAAAAATCTAAACTTTGGTTTTATTTCATTTTACATTCACTGCTGACCTTTGACCTTTACCTGAGCCAGACTCACAGCTCAGGCTGGAGGATTGTGGGTAATGTAGTGTGGTCATGGCTCAGACAGAGGGGAAGGATATAAATACAGGAAACAATAAATAAGGAGTAAACATTTGGATTCATCCTCAAACTGAGAAATAACTTAAAGAAACCTGAAGTGACGAGTTAACCTCTGAGACGACGATCAGATCTGTGACCATCAAACCGTTTAAATACAAACGACGGAGATTAACAAACCAACGCTGGGTTAGAGATTCAGCAGACTGAGGCTACACGGAGAAGAAAGAGCGTTTCTAAAAAGAGGAGGAAATTCAGAGACGGAGAGATGAGGAGGTTTTTTTAAAGCAGGTTTCTGAGTTTAGATTTGATCTGGAGTTAAAAAACAAACAAGAAATAAAATAATTCAATCAAGTCTGAGACCCTCGGTATCATCATCGGGTTCAGAACTCAATGTTTTTGGTAACTTCAGGATTCTTTAACCCTGATAGTCTCCATGGAAACAGGAAGAGGAACTTTATACGAGTTTGAGACTCGAAGAGATCGAGTGAGAGAGAGTTTAAAAAAGACCAAACTGAGAGAGAGGACCTGAAGTCTCTGTTCAGGTCTTTATGTCTCAGACCTGGTCTAGGACTGACCTGGTCTAGGACTGACCTGGTCTAGGACCGACCTGGTCTATGATTGACCTGGTCTCTGACTGACCTGGTCTGTGACTGACCTGGTCTCTGATTGACCTGGTCTAGGACTGACCTGGTCTATGACTGACCTGGTCTATGACTGACCCGGTCTCTGACTGACCTGGTCTCTGACTGACCTGGTCTAGGACTGACCTGGTCTAAATCCACATGAGACGATGCTGCAGGTTTCTTCAGGTCTCAGATTGAGTCGATAAATCAAAGTCCATCTGTGACAGTAAAACTTTGGATGACGAGACTGAAGATGACAGAACTGGAACCAATCAGAGTCTGAGAGCCCTGACCTCTTAGAGCGCCCCCCTGTGTGAGGAGACTCACACTGCAGACGCCTCGACTCTGTGGTGCGTTCAACGTCAGTGTGTTTGTTACAGCTGCAGCCGTGTCCCTGAGAGGCCTTTTACCATGTTTAGTAGTGTGTGTGTGTGTGTGTGTGTGTGTGTGTGTGTGTGTGTGTGTGTGTGTGTGTGTGTGTGTGTGTGTGTGTTAACTGCTGTAGAGGCTACATTGTGTATTTTTTGTATTGTCCTATAAAGGGTTCTGCTGCTGCTCTCCCTCCGGTTGTTTAAACCGCTCGTTAACTTGATTCAGTGACTTCAGTTTCTTCTCTCTGGTTCAGACTCGTCTTTTGTTGCGTTTGTTTGTTTCTTGGAGCAGTTTTTTCATCCATATTCCTGTTTGTTTTTTGTTTTTTCACCTCAAACTTCTGTGGGAACAGAACTTCCTTATTCATTTCTCAATCAAACATCCATTCTTACACCAGCTAACCCGGTCTATCTGAAGTCCTCTCCCCTCTGAGCTGCTGTCAGATCGTTGAGGTTTCGGTTTTTTGGTCGGAAGCTTCAGTTCACGGTTTTCATCTTTAAAGTGCTATGATTGGCTGAGGGACATCCTAAGCTCCTCCTCCTTGAGGCTGCGGTCCAATCGCTGCGTCTCAGACTCCAGAACAGACGGTACCGGACGACGAGTAACGGTGTCCAGCGACTCGGTGAGGTCGTGTCTCAGAGAGAGCAGCCATTGGCTGTTCCTGGAGGACTGCTGGATAAACTCCGCCCTCTGCTGCTGATCCACAGCGATGGAGAGACGCAGCTGACTCACCTGAGGGGGAGGAGACAATGACATCATCAACACCTACCTGGAAACGCAGAAACAGCCAACACTCTTCTTCTGTGGTGTCTCACCAGGTCCTCCAGCTCCATCACTCTGCCCCTCAGACGTTCTTCTTCTGTGGTGTCCAAACTCTGTCAAATAAACACAACAGCTTTACTCACACAAACACACAAATACACAACACAAATACACAACACAGCTTCCATCAATCAGGACTGTCAAAGAACCAAACGGGTCCAAAGTTCTGATGGAGGAACATCTCCACCTTCTGAAGAAGAAGAGGAGGTTCTGGAATCTCACCTGAGATCTGTGGCTGTCGGTCAGCCTCTGTCTGAACATCACCCGCTCGCCCTCCACCTGAAACACACACACACACATCAGTGTGTGACCTGTGTGTGTGTGTGTGTGTGTGTGTGTGTTAGTGTGTGTGTGTGTGTGTGTACCTGTCTGAGTGTGTCTCTCAGTGTGTTTCTGTCCCTCTTCAGTTTTTCTTTCTGATGTTCCAGCTGAGAGTTTTTATTCTTCAGTCTTTTCACGTCCACCTCCAGCTCAGCGACCAGACACTGCAGGACCTCCAGTCTGTCACCCTGCTCACACACACACACACACACACACAAACACACACATACACGCACGCACGGTGGGTCAGAACATGTTGACTTCTCCATGATAAAGTTACTGTCCAATCACAGACCTGTTCAGTGTTAGGCCCCGCCTCCTGGCTCTGCTCCTGTTGGTGGGCTCTCTCCCTGTAGCCAATCATAGCTGCCTCAGTGAGCTCCAGAGCCAATCGGACACGATCTCGGTCCTTCTCCAGCTCCTCTGTCCTCTGAGTGAGAGAGTACACCTTCACACACACACACACACACACACACACACACACACACACACACACACACACGTGCGCGCGCACACACACACACACACACACACACACACACACACACACTCTGAGTCTCTGAAGCTCTCAGCTCCTCACTCCCTCTCCCTGAACCTTTGTTACCTCAGCTTCTCTCTGCCTCAGCAGCCTCCTGATCTCCTCCTCCTCCTCCTCCTCCTCCTTCTGAAACGATGAAGTTGAACATTTATACATCGTCATATTTGAAGGTGTCGTTTCTACGAAACCATCCAAACCTCCTGCTCACCTCCTTTCCTCCTCCTCCTGCACCCTTGCCGTCTGACTCCTTGTCTCTGCTCCCTCTCTTCTGGCCATCCGTCTCCTCCTCCCTCTCTCCTCCTCTCTCTGCAGACAGTGAGGAGATCTGTCCTCTCTGCTCCTCCAACATGGCTGCTGTGGCTTTAACCCTCCTCAGCTCACCGTGGCACTCCTCCACCTCCCTCCTTGCCTCCACAAACCTGGCCCTCCACTCCTTCTCCTTCTCCTCCTCTCTCTCCTTCAGTGTTTGGATCTCCTTTAAAAGCATCTTCAGCTTCCCCTCCTCCATCCCTTCGACTCTGCTCCTCCACTGCTCCTCCACCTTCCTCCTCTCCTCCTCAGTGTTGACCCTGGCCAGGCGAGCCTCCTCCAGCTCCTCCAGCAGCTCCGTCCTCCTCTTCTCCAGAGCCTTAGCTCTGGCTCTCAGCTCCTCCACCTCCCCTCTGTCCTTCTCCATCTCCTCCCTCTCTTGTTGCGCCTCCTTCCTGGCAGTCTGCAGGTTCCCCTCTCTGAACCTCTCCACCTCCTCCTTCTTGTCCCTCAGCGCCCTCCTCAGACGCTCCCCTTCTTGGTGGCTCTCCTGAGTGACAGTAGAAGGTCAGATTGGACAGGAAACAGACGTGAGCGTTTGAGTTTTCAGGGATTCATCTGTTTTTTTTTAATCCCACAAATTAAATCAGAACTTTTTAAACTTTCACTAAAATATTTAAAACTTTTTCAACTATAAAAACTTTTTTTTAACTTTTTTTACATAAAAAAATTTTTAAATTAAAAACACATTTTGAACTTTTTCAACTAAAAAAAACTTTAAAATTTTAACTTCAAAAAATCCTTCAACTTCTTTAATGAAAAAAACTTTAAAAACTTTTGAACAAAAATACTTTTTTTAACTCAAAAAAGTTTTTTAACTTTTATTAACTAAAGAACTTATTGAATAAAAATAAAAAACTATTTCAACTATAAAAACTTTTTTTTACTTTTTTTCACTGAAAAATTTTTAAAACTTTTTTTACATAAAATTTATTTAAAACTTTTAGCTAAAAAACTTTAAAAACTTTTTTTAACAAAAAACTTTAACTTTTTTGACTAATAATTTTTTAAAACTAAAACTTTTTAAACTAAAAAACTTTTTAACCTTAAATGATTTTTAAAGAGTTCCCTGAAGAAGTGCCCAGACTCTAAACTGGGATTATCGGGGTCGTGTTTTCAGGAGGAGGTCTCGTACCTGCAGGAGGACCTTCAGGTTCATCACCTCGTCCAGAGCCGCTCTCAGACCCTCCCTCATCTGCTGCGCCTCCTCCTCTTTCTCCTTCACCTCCTTCCTCGCTCGCTCCCTGATCTGACTCTGATCTGACACCTGAGAGACACACACACACACACACACACACACACACACACACACACACACCTGTTTATGAGGACAACAGCTGCCATGGAGCTACAACACAACACTGTGTATGAGGGTATTATTGTTTACTGTAGTATTACTGCAGTATTTGTACTCTCTCACAGTAACTGTAGTATTATTGTTTACTGTAGTATTACTGCAGTATTTGTACTCTCTCACAGTAACTGTAGTATTATTGTTTACTGTAGTATTACTGCAGTATCTGTACTCTCTCACAGTAACTGTAGTATTATTGTTTACTGTAGTATTACTGTAGTATCTGTACTCTCTCACAGTAACTGTAGTATTATTGTTTACTGTAGTATTACTGCAGTATCTGTACTCTCTCACAGTAACTGTACCTGGGTCTGCAGGGAGCTCAGGTTGACGGTCATCACCTCCACACTCTGCTGGACCTCCTTCAGCTTCTCCTGCACCTCCTCTCTCCTTCTCCTCTCCTTCTGCTCCTTCTCTCTCAGTGCTGTCGCCTCCTTCTCTGTACTCTCTAAACTCTCCTGCACCTCCTCCCTCCTCCTCCTCTCCTTCTGCTCCTTCTCTCTCAGAGCTGTCGCCTCCTTCTCTGCCCTCTCTAAATTCTCCAGCACCTCCTCCCTCCTCCTCCTCTCCTTCTGCTCCTTCTCTCTCAGAGCTGTCGCCTCCTTCTCTGTCCTCTCTAAACTCCCCTGCACCTCCTCTCTCCTCTTCTGCTCCTGCAGTAATACTTCTTTTAGTTGCTCCTTCTCCTTTTCTTCTTTCTGCACCTCCTCCATGATAACTACCAGCTCCTTCTTGGTCCTCTTTAGCTCCTCCTGCACTTCCTCCTTCTGTATCTGCTCCTTCTGCACCTCCTCTCTAAGCACTGCGGCCTGCTTTTCTGTCATCAGTAACCTCTCCAGTGTGTGCTCCTTCTCCTTCTCTTCCTTTTGCACCTCCTCTGTGATGAATGCCAGCTCCTTCTTGGTTCTTCTCAGCTCCTCTTGCACCCCCTGCCTCTCCCTCTGCTCCTCCTGCACCTCCTCCCTGAGGGCTGTGATGTCATGTAGCTTCTTCCTCAGCTCCTCCTGAACTTCAGTCTTCTCCCTCTGCTCCTTTTCTACCTCCTCTCTCAGAGCAGACACCTCCCTTTCACTCCTCCTGAGCTCCTCCTCTCGCTGCCTCTGCTCTTTTTCAGCCTCCTTGCTCCTCTTAAGCTCCTCCCTCTTTCTCTGCTCCTTCTGTGTCTCCTCCCTCTCTGTTTGTTCCTCCCTGAATGCTGTCACCTCCTCCTGAGCTCTCCTTAGCTTCTCCTGTAACTCCTCAGTCTCTGTTTGCTCCTTTGCCACCTCTTCCCTCAGTGAAGATATTTCCTCTTTCCTCCTCCTCAGCTCCTCCTGAGCCTTCTCTCTCTGTGTCTGCACCTCCTCCTGTAGTGCTGCCACCTCCCTCTCTCTCCCTCTCAGCTCCTCCAACAGTCCTGCTTTCTCCTCCTCCAGCTCCTCATTACTCTCTCCTACTCCCTTTTGCTCCTCTTTCAGTTTCCTCAGTTCATCCTCCACCTCCCTCTTCTCCTTCCTCGTCCTCCTCAACACCTCCTCCATCTCTTTAAGTTCATCTTCCAGCCTTCGTTTCTCCTCCTCTGTCCTCCTCAGCTCAACTCCTTTCCCCTTTAACTCCTCCATATCTCTCAATCTGTCCTCCAACCTCCTCTTCTCCTCCCTGGCTCTCCTCAGCGCCTCCATCACTTCATCCAGCTCCTCCTCCACCTCTTTCACTCTCTCCTCCAGCCTCCTTTTCTCCTCCTCCACCTCTGTTATCTTGTTTTCCAGCCTCCTCCTCCTCTCTGACTCCACCCTCTTCAGCTCCTCCCTCTCTCTCTCCCACTCCTCCTCCTTCTCCTCCAGCATGGTCCTCAGCTGCTGCACCTCCTGTTCTCGGTCCCTCAGGAGGAGGTTGAGTTTTGTCGCGTCCTTCACAAACCGCTCTGCTTTCTCCCTCCACACCTTCACCTCCTCATCCAGCTTCTCGAAGGCCTCCTCCACCTCTCTGGCTCTCCTTCTTGCTCCTTCGCTCTCAGCTCTGACCTCCTGCAGCTCCCTGAGCAGGGAGGAGATCTTGCTTTCTCTCTCTCCTCTCTCCCTCCTCTCGGTCTCCAGGAGCGCCCGGGTTTCTCGCAGCAGCACCTCCAGCTGCTCCTCCCTCACCTCCTTTAGCCTCAGTTTCTCATACGCCTCCTGCCGCTCCCTCTCTCCCTCCTCCTCCTGCTCCTCGGCCAGCCTGAGTCTCGCTCTCAGCTCCTCCACCTCCTCCTCTCTCTCCCTCACGGCACTCATCTGACGCTCCAGGCTGCGTTCCCTCCTCTGCACCTCCTCCTTCATCTCCTCACACTCCTCCTTGGCCACACTCAGCTTCAGCCTCAGCAGTTCCACCTCCCCCGCCTTCTCCTTTAGCCTCTCCACCTCCCCCTCAGCTCTCCAGGCTTCATTTTTCAGCCGCTCCACCTCCTCCTCCTCCCTCCTCCTCCTCTTCCCCTCTCTGTCCTGCAGCCTCTCCTTCTCCCTCCTCCCTTCCTCTTTGTCCTCCTCTAGTTTGGAGATTTCTCTCATCAGTCTGCTCGTCTCCTCCTCCTGCTCCTCCACTCTCTTCCTCCATCTCTCACCCTCCTCCTCTTGCTCCTCCACCCTTCTCCTCCATCTCTCCATCTCCTCCTCTGCTGCGCTCCTCGTGTGGTCTATCTCCTCCTCCCTCTCCTCCTTTTCTCTTTCCAGTCTCTCCATGCGGTCACAGAGAGCACTGATCTCCTCCTCCCTCCTCACCTCCTCCTCTGTGAACTTCATCTTTGTCCTCTGCGCCTCCTCCTGCACTCTCTCCCTGTCTCCTTCGATCCTGAGGATTCTCTCCATCATGTGGCTGAGCTTCACCTCCCTCTCTGTGATCTCCCTCCTCAGTCCCTCCATTTCTTTCTCCCTCTCCTTCTCCTCCTCCTTCAGTCCCTCTGTGCGCCTCCTCAGCGCCTCCAGCTCTCCGTCTTTTGTCCCGAGCTCTTCGCTCAGAGCCTCCCTCTCCCTCTGCCAGGCCTCCTTCTCCTGCATCCTCTCCTCTTCCTCCTCCGCCCTCGTCTTTGTCAGTTCCTCCACCTCCTGTGTCAGCCTCTCCATCTCCTCCTTCAGTTCCTCCCTCACCTCCTCACTCCTCCTCCTCTGCTCCCTCTCGTCTCCTCTTCCTGCTGTGGCTCTCTTCACCTCCTCCCTCAGATACTCCACCTCCCCTTCAGACAGAGGAGCAGACAGATGTTTGTGATGAAGATGACGTGTTGTTGTTGTTTGTTTGTTGTTGTTGTTTGTTTGTTTGTTGTTTGTTTGTTGTTGTTTGTTGTTGTTTGTTTGTTGTTTGTTTGTTGTTGTTTGTTGTTGTTTGTTGTTGTTTGTTTGTTGTTGTTGTTTGTTGTTGTTTGTTTGTTTGTTGTTGTTGTTTGTTATTGTTTGTTGTTGTGTGTGTAGAGTGTGTGTTTTGTGTCTCACTGACCCTGGAGTGTCTGTTTGACCTGCTGCAGAGCGCTGACGTGTGAGTTCAGCTGATGTTTGTCGACCTCCAGCTGAGAGATCAGCTGCTGCTGCTGACTGAGCTGCTGGTGGAGAGACACCGACATCGACCTGCAGAGAGAGAGAGAGAGAGAGAGAGAGAGAGAGAGAGAGAGGGAGAGGGAGAGAGAGAGAGAGAGAGAGAGAGAGGGAGGGAGGGAGGGAGGGAGAGAGAGAGAGAGAGAGAGGGGAGAGAGAGGGAGAGAGAGGGAGAGAGAGAGAGGGAGGGAGAGATAGAGAGAGAGAGAGAGGGAGAGAGAGAGAGAGAGAGGGAGGGAGAGAGAGAGAGGGAGAGGGAGAGAGAGAGAGGGAGAGAGAGGGAGAGAGAGAGAGAGAGGGAGAGAGAGGGATGGGGAGAGAGAGAGAGAGAGAGAGAGAGAGAGAGAGAGAGAGAGAGAGAGAGAGAGAGAGAGAGAGAGAGAGAGAGAACAGCTGACAGTCTGAAGCTGCTACATGAACCCTGTTTTCTTCCCTCCTCTGGCAGTTAAAGAGAGGAGCTGCTCCTCCTGCTCCTCCTCCTCCTCCTCCTCCTCAGTGAAGATGGGTTTACGGTCTGGATCTCTAGTTTACAGTCTTCTTCAGAGTCCCACAGAGGAGGACTTAAACAGGAGGTACCTGAGTTGTGATCACAGCGACCTGAAGCTCTAGCGCCCCCTATCGTCCAGCCGCCGCTGTTGTATACCTGATCTCCTGGAGCTCCTCCTCCAGCTGCTCCCTCTGTCTCTGCAGGCTCTCCTGCTCCTGCTGCAGCCTCCTGCTCTCCCTCTGCTGCTCCTCCTGCAGTCTGTCTCTCCTCCTCACCTCCTCCACAGCCTGCCTCAGCTGCTCCTGCGCCTCCTTCAGCTCCCCGTACACTGAGGCATGCTGGGAGGACAGCTGGGGACCACAGAGACCTGTCGTTACAAACCATACAGGTGTGTGACTGTCACATGACCATCACCTCCTCCTCCTCTCTTTACCTCCTCCATCTGACCTCCATCCCTCTCCTTCTCCTCCATCAGCGAGGCCAGCTGTCTCTCCTTCTCCTCCACCATCCTCTTCATCTCCGTCTCTCTTCCTCTCAGCTGACGGAGGAGTTCAGCCTCCTCCTCGCTCTGAGCTCTGAGCAACGACAGGAAAACATCAGGGTGACGTTCAGAAGTTCGAACCAGGAACCAGGAAGAACGGTTTCAGGTTTCAGGTTCAGACTGAGGATTAAAACTAAAGTTCAGGATTAAAATTATCTTTCAATTTCTATTTCATCTCAAAACATTCAAACGTTCGTTGACTGTAGATTTTAACGGTTCAAACTTCTCCTCCACATCTGATCGTTTTTTTACTCGAGGTTGAAGTTCCCTCAGATCCAGGATGAAGGTGTGTTCAGGTACAGCTCTGTCTGATGGAGAGGATCTCACCTGAGCCGGGTACAGTCCAGGTTCAGGACGCTGACCTCCCTCTGCAGAGAGCTGACCTCTGACCTCACAGCCTGCAGCTGTGATTGGCTGTTTGAGAGCTCAGACTCCAGCTGTAAACACAGAGAGGTGTGAAGGTGAAGCTCAGGTGGAGGCTCTCTGACCCTCAGCAGCAGGTGAAGCTGACGCTCGCTCGTACCTGCAGCAGCTGTTTGTTCAGCTCCCTCTTATCCAACGCCAACGCCGAGCTCAGGGCCGCCATCTTCTCCAGAGCGTCCCGAGCCTCCTCCACCTCCCGCTTCAACACGCACTCAGAGGAGGAGAGCTGCAGCACGCTCTCCCTGGACTGAAGAGGAGGAGGAGGAGGAGGAGACTTAAAGAGAGTCACACACCTGAGAAGGTTCAAACGTCTGAAGATCTACCTTCTGCAGGGCGTCTCGGGCGTCAGCAGCCTCTTCTTCTGCCTTCTGTCTGCCTAACTGCTCCCTCTCTAACGCCCCCTACAGACAGACAGGAGGGAGAGTCAGGAGAAGAGGCAGAAGCTGAAGGAAAAGCTTCAAAGTGAATCCTGGTTGGTTACCTTCAGGTTGTGGATCTCCAGTCGGTGCTGAGTTCCTCTCTCCGACAGCTGAACGTTCTCCAGCAGCTCCGACTCCACTCTGAAACACAGAGACAGGACTTCATCCTCCTCTCCCACACTCTCTCACCTCTCAGAATAACTCCAGAGTTACGTGAACATATCGTTTACTTTACTCAGACACAGTTTAGAAACTTCAATCTGAACGGACTCTTCTCCAGAACTTTCTCTGAGACTTTCAGAACCACATCGGTCCAGTGAGGTACCCACCGTCTGTGAGTCTCCGTCTCCAGCTGTGTGACTCTCTCCTCCTGCCGCTCTCTCTCTTTCTTCAGCCTGTCCACCTCTCTCTTCAGCCCCTCCTCCCTCCTCTGCACCTCGTCCACCTGCAGGTACAGCAGAGAGGACGCCTCACGCTCCCTGGTGGTCAGAGTGGGTAATTTTACACACCTGCAGTGATTCACCTGCACAGACGTTCAGAGTCCTGGTCTCTGTGTACCTGCTGAGGGAGTCCAGAGCGTGGGTCAGCTCCAGCTGTGTGTACTGAGTGTGCGAGTGCAGCTGCTGGTTGTCGTCCTCCATCTGTGTGAGTCGCAGGAGCAGAGCCGAGTTCTCCTCGCCGAGCTGCCGCACCGAGAGCTCCGCCCCCTGACACACAAAAAACAGGTTCAGGTCTAACCCCCGATCTCCACCTTCATCCTGATTGTCTCCTAAAAGGTCGTATCCTCCGATCGTAGCTGATCGTAACCATTCAAGTTAACGTGATCTAAATCTGACTCTCTTTTGGAAAGGACAACTGGACTTACTTGAGACGTTTCGTCTTAGAAACGTCTCAAGTTAGTCCAGTTGTCCTTTCAACGAAGAACTGTAAATCACAGAGTTCTCATGATTACCGCTGTCCGTAATCCGCCACGAAACTTGCTTCACAAACAGATCAGGTAGGAATTGTGAGACGGCGAAAATCACCGTTGTTCCGGCTGACTCCTGGCTGGCTCGCCAATTACATGGTAGATTTCATGGATGCAAAGGTGCGTGCAAAGGGGCGGAGACGAACAAGTGAAAGGTTTTTAGACGTCATTTCACCCCGATGACACCATGGATGAGGAGATGCTGATTCTAGAAGTCTAGAAGTAGATTTCCTCTTCTGGAAGGACACAATCTACTGCCTATATGTCTATGTGTCTGTCTTTAGAGAGACGACTCGTTATCGTGAGATTGAACGTGAATCTGCGGGTTCTTGTGAGTTCTCGAGATTCCTGCTGTCAAGTCAAACTTTTTTGAGTGTGACGTGATTGGGTGTGTGTGTGTGTGTGTGTGTGTGTGTGTGCTCTGACCTGTAGTTCCTGGTGTCTCCACTGCAGGGCGCTCTCACAGTGGGACAGGACAGACAGCAGGGAGGACAGGTCCTCGTTGAGGAGGTTCTCTGATGACACACACAGAGACCTGCTGCTGCTGCTGCTCAGGACTCTGGACTGGAGACAGACACACAGGGTGACCTTTAACCTCTGAACACCTGTCCTCACCTGTCCTCACCTGAACACACCTGTCCTCACCTGTCCTCACCTATCCACACCTGTCCTCACCTATCCTCACCTATCCTCACCTATCCTCACCTGAACACACCTATCCTCACCTGAACACACCTGTCCTCACCTGTCCACACCTGAACACACCTGTCCTCACCTGTCCACACCTGTCCTCACCTGTCCTCACCTGTCCACACCTGTCCTCACCTGTCCACACCTGTCCTCACCTGTCCACACCTGTCCTCACCTGTCCTCACCTGTCCTCACCTGTCCACACCTGTCCACACCTGTCCTCACCTGTCCGCACCTGTCCTCACCTGTCCTCACCTGTCCTCACCTGTCCTCCACACTCACCAGTTTGAGCACAGCCTGGCTGACGGACTGCAGCTTCCTCTCCGTCTCTCTGAGTCTCTCCATCTCTCGCTCTCTCTCCTCCCTCTGATCGTCCTCCATCTGCAGGGGGCGAGAGAGCTCTGCTATCCTGTTAAAGAGAGAGAGAGAGAGAGCGACTTTTCATAAGGTCGATCAATGAACCTGGACCTGGATCTGGACCCTGGTTCCTCTCAAGTTCCTGACAAAGACTAAAGTTTACCGAACAGACGGCGGAGGAGGAACGTCGGTCTCATGAAGGAGCTCCAGCTCTGAAACGTCCTGCTCCTTCTCCTCCTCTCTCTCCTCTTTGTGCTCCAGCTCTCCCACAGAGAAGGTTCCCAGGGTGAAGGAGGAGGAGGTGGGAGGAGCAGGAGCAGACGACGAGGAGTCCTGAGGGTGGGGAAGGAGCAGGGTGGAGGAGAGAGGAGGAGCAGGGAGGCCGGGGGGAGGAGGCTCAGAGGGAGAAGGAGCGCTGAGCCTCAGAGAGGAGGAGACCGAGTCACAGCTGGAGAGGAGGGAGGAGGAGAGACGGGAGAACTCGGCCCTCAGCTGCCACAGATCCCTGAAGACAGGAGACAAAGGAGGACCAGGAGACCGTCAGTCTGGACCCTGACCTGTCACACACACACACACACACACACACACACACACACACACGCACACACAGGTGTGTACCTGTCTGCAGCAGTTTTGACGGTGTGACAGTGTCGTCTGAGAACGACCACAGACCTCCAGACTGAGAGTAACCGAGCCTGCTGCTGACCCACATGACCGGACAGATCCTGGACACGGACACACACACACACACACACACACACACTCATGTTAATCACAAAGGCCGTTCATTCAGGATACGTCTCGTCTCTCATTTTATCATGCACGAACACAAACTGACCTCCCTCTCTCTCTGCCAATCACTCTCTCTATGCCCCGCCTCCTCCACAGCTCTTGTCCAATCACATGTAAGCTTCTGAACGTCCTCCCTCAGGGCCTGGTTCTCCTGCTCTGATTGGCTGAGTTTGTCAACGAGGAGAGTGTTTGTCTCAGAGAGACTAGTTGACCTGAAGAGAGACAGGAGCGCAGGTGAGTCACACACACACGCACAAGCACAAGCACACACACACACACACACACACACCTTTGTTGTTCCTCCTCCAGCCTGATGAGGGCGCTCTCCAGAGAGTCACTGTGTTCATCTTTGATCCTCCTCTGAAAACGAAGAGATTAAAGGATTTACTTTTATCTTTTTGTTTTTACTGGACGAAGTTTCAGTCGTCAGACTCGAGGATTTTTACACTCTTGACCGCAAACAGTGAAAAAACGGCACCAAACTGACTGATAAAGAAATGATCATAAATGTTCTTCCTTGAGCTGCGGCACCCCGCTGTAGTCCGTAATGGACTGGCCTGAGGTCTCTCTACAAACAAGCGTCTGCTGGAAGAGAGTAGGTGAGTTGTGTTTAGTCTCTTTGCTAAAGAAATGAGTCAAAGTTAAAAAGATGTTTGGTGTCTAGTACTATGTCTGTGACCCTATATGTCCTGTTGATGAAGTTAGGTGCTGTTCTGAGCATTATTTGTGGCTATAGAGTGGCGTTTTGGTTGAGGGTGTGGCTCTCTGTATTTCTATCCTGCGGTCATTACTAAAGTTGGTATAACTAGAGAAGCAAGCGGTCGACAACATTCATCTCTGGAGGGGGGGTCTAACTCGGTGTTATGGTGGGTTTGACTCTAAATTAATTTTATATCCCTTTAAATCATCTGACCTCAGTGATGATCAGCTGGGTTTGTCCTTCCTGCAGCTGGAGCCCCAAACGTTCGCTCTGCTCTCTGTACTCCAACACCTGCACACACACACACACACACACACACACACACACACACACACACACACACACACACACACACGGTGAAAACAATGGTTCCATGACTCCTCCCTCTCCTCCTCCCTCCCCCACCCTCCGGTCTCACCTTGTTCTGTAGTCGGTGGATGAGCAGAGCCTGCCTCGCCTCCCTCTCTCTCCCCTCTCTCACCCTCTTCTTCCACTCCCTCAGCTCCCCCTCTGTCTGCAGAGAGAGGGCGAGCGAGGGAGACACTGTTTGGCATAGCTGGAGAGAGAGCGTGAGAGATGTTAGAATTAGATTTTCTCCTGATGATGATCACATGATCAACCCCCTCTCTACTCCTCCTCCCCCTCCTCACCCTGTCACTCAGCGCTCTGCTCCTGGACTCCAGCTCCTCCCTCTCAGCCCTGCTCTCAGCCAGCTCTGTCTGCAGTCGGCACACTTCTCGATGAAGCTCCTCCTTCTCCTGCTGCCATCCAATCAGCAGCCCCGGATCCATGATTACAGGTGATTCTGGACTGAGACACAGAGAGGGACCATGAGACTGAGCGCTGATGGGTCAGACCCGGACTCTGAGTCTCTGTCTGCCCACTAGAGGGCGCCTGTGGTTGGTTCAGAGACAGATCAGCTGTTTCACTGTTTCATGTTTGTTTACAGCAGAGAAAGAGCAGAAATAAGGGGAGACAGAGAAACGCTCAGACAAAAACAACAACAGAAATACAGAAATAAACACAGAGGTTCTGTTTGCAATAATTAATATCAATATAAAACATGATCAATATCTTTTTCAATAGTCGTCATTCTGACATGTTTTGGTCGACTATACCAACAGCCAATGAAAAGTATCAACCAACTGCAGCGTCGTAGCAGACAGCAGCTCCACCCAACCATAGCACTTTAACAGGTGAAGCCGACAGCACTGTTGGTGAGAAACAAAGAAAATGAGTGCTACCCCCGACAGAAATGACCATGAAGGCTCAACAGATGACCACATCAATGTCAACCACAACACTGGCGTTAGGAAAACGTCGCTGGTGTGGAGGTATTTTGGTTTTTGGAGGTCGGACATGAAGCAGAGTAATGTGGACTGTAAATTATGTCGAGTACATGTTCTCACAAAGTCGGGGAATACCTCAAATCTTTTTCACCAACTGAAGCAGCGCCACGCCGCAGAGCACGCGCAACGCAAACGGTTACAAACCCCGAGAGGAGCGAGGAGCCCATGGCGCCTGAAACAGACGACCATTCAGTCGGCTTTCTCTAGAGCAACGCCTTACGACAAAACGCCAAAGAGACACAAAGACCTCACAGATGCAGGAGATTATTGTGTTGGAAAAGACATGAGACCAATAAACACTGTTAGATTTTTATATCCTGATATTGATCAAACACTCCTCTAGAAAGGAGAGTCTAAGAACTGTAAATCATAGATGCTGCATCCTCAGTTTTAGACTAGATCTCTACAGACAGTCGGTTATATCAGAGCTCTGAAGACATGATGAGAAACAAGAACACTCAAATTTATCCTGATCAACTTTTTACCATATCACTCAGCTCTAAGAAGGACTGCCTTCATCTCCTCATTTATGTACAAACCGTCACAGCCGTCCCCGGTCTCCCCCACTCCCTGCTCCCGTTACCATGGTAACAGGTTCTCATGTAAACTTAATCTGGTTGTGAGGAGCAGGATAATCCGTGTCCGAACTATGACCATCCTCTCCAGTGAAGACCCACCTGAGAGAAGGACTCACCTGTGAGCGTGCACACCTGTCCTCGCGCTCCTCCTTCACTGAGGGTTAAAAACCTCCTTTAACCGGATTAATCCTGACTTTAATCTGACTTTAATCCGCAGACACAGGGCTGCAGTGTTAATCTGTTAATCCCTCTGTTCACTGGCACACCTGTCCGAGAACTCTGATCCGGACTGACCCGAACCGACCCGGAGGATGTGGGTCAGACAGGTATTAGAGAGGCTAACCTATTAGCATGCTAACTAAAGATGAAGAAAGAGACACGGAAGTGAATAAAGTTCTCACCTGAGGCTGCTGGAGGAGTCCGAACCGGAAACTGTTAAAACCCGAACTTTATAAACTCTCTAAAAGAGTTTAAAGTTAAATCAGAACCTGAGTTTGAGCGAACTTTACCGAACTCTGTTAGCAGATTCAAACCGGGAAACATGACCTCTCATACCGGAAACACTACAGACACGTGACCAAATACGGCTCCGTCAAAGTCAAACAACGACACCGAGCGGTTTGTTTATGTTCACACCAAACACTGATCAATATTATTATTCTGAATAACAGGAGGAGAGCCCGATTAAAACTACAGGAAGGATTTATCATCATTATTACAAACTTAAAGGTTTTTCTACGGTGGCCGAGAAATGCCACTGCTGGCAATAAAAAAGATGCAACAAAAAAAAAGGTGCAACAGAAGTTACTGATACAAAAAAAGAAACTGAAGCTCGCTGCAAATAAAAAAGAAATGGTGATTTAAATTAAAAGAAAAACCCACAACAGAAGTTTACGTGTAGAAAAAAATGGGAAAAAAGGATACTCACTGTAAAAATAAAAGGATGCAAATAAAAAAAGAAAACGGTGCAGATAAAAAAAAATAATTGGTTTGAAAATTGGTGTTTTGAGATGTTTTTTCCCATTTTTAAAGCTTTTTTTTTTTTTATCTTTCACCTGTTTGTTTTTTTTTTAATCGAAAGCTGAAACTGCAGAAGTTAAAAAGTTAACTCCTCTAAATTAAACTATTTACAGTTTTAATGTTAATTCTTATTCAGTGTTTAGGAGAGACGTTAAGGAACACTATATAAAAAAATCACGTGTGTGAGGGCGTGGCCATGGCGTCCTTTTCACTCTGATGTTTTTACAGTGTGAATGACTTACATTAGTCAAAGGCAGTCACAAGGACCAGCTGTCATGAAGAGCATGAAACAGGGGATAACAGGGCGGTGTGACGGAGCGGGGGTCCACAGAGGATGTGTAAAGCAAATAAATAAAAATATAAATTAAATCTAAGAATACGGTTATGATTTTAGGACAGAAACATGGTTGTTATTTTAATTAAAGGTTTAATAAAAACAACTAAAATGAACATTAACAGACAGCAGACTCACTATAATACATAAAACAAATATCAAAAAATCATCTGAATATTATTAATAATAGTAATAAGTCCTATTTTCATAATAAAACAGATATTACACACAAGTTTGACTGAAAAAGGCAGAAACACATAAAAACATTATTATTATTATTATTATTATATGAAGCAGTGTGAATATTTACAAAAGCCCTCAGTGTGGATGCTCAGTAGCTTATTAGTTACATAAATATTTTAAAACCAATAATAAAATATTCCTCTGAAGTAAAAGAGAGTAAAATAATTCAGTCATTTAACGCTCATGGTTAAAGAGTTACTCAGAGCTGATATTAAAGGTAAAGTTCGTTAAATTCAGTTTTTATTTAAACATCATTAAACTCTCAGAGTGTTTTCAGCTGTTTGTGCTTCAGAGGACAAAGTCTGTGAGATCGAGTCAAAGTTTTTATGAAGTTTCACTTTCTTGTCACCTGATATTTTGACCTTTCTCTGCTCAGGTGGGCGATCCTCAGCCGTTTGACTGCAGGGCGGAAAGTGAGACTGACTCCTCCCTCCACTCTCCGCTCAGCCTGTCCGGATTATAAATGTCTCCTTTTTGTCAATCTTAATAAAGTCGCCAGATCACACACACACACACACACACACACACACACACACACACACACACACACACACACACACACTCACACACACACACACTCAGTTCTCAGATAATAACACCAAACCTGTTTTTCAATATTAACGTCCATAAATAAAGTTTTTAGAGATGCTTCAGAACCGGCCTGAACATCTGCATGTTTGAGTCAAACTCACTGGATCAGCTGTTTTATCTGATCGCTCTGAGGTTTATCAATAATGATGTGTTCATGAGTGTCAGTATAACTCTGTCCATGATAATGTAAGTACGGCGGCCGAGAAACGCCACTGCTGCAAAAAAAAAAGAATAAAAAAAAAAAGAAGTCACAACAAAAGTTACTGATGCGAAAAAAAGAAACTGAAACCCGCTGCGAATAATAAAAAAAAAGAAATAGTGCAGATTACAGAAAAAAGTCACAACAGAAGTTAACGACGCCAAAAAAGTGTGACGATGGAAAGAAAAAAAAGTTACTTACAGCGAAAATAAAAGGATGCAAAAAAAAAAAGCCAAAACAGAAGTGAGCTGCCGGGGACCAATAATGATGATGCACCGGTGTTTGACTGTTAGCAACGAATAAAATCTGATGGAGGTGGAACCAGTGTACTGATGGTAGGGGAAGGTCCCGCCCTCTTCGCCTCTGATTGGCTAGAAGTGCTGGGCTCCTATTCGTTATTCCTTCTGGCTGTAAAACATCATCGTCTGTCAGGTTTGGGTTATGCTGTGTTTGAGTTACATCGGAAATCAGAAGTCCGAACTGAAAATGACGAAACACTCGAGTTCTTAGTGTTTCAGTTACCAAGTCAGAAATAAACAAAAATCAGAGGCGGAAACAGGAAAACTGTATCTACGAGAGTTATGGCTACATCTACAAAAGTTATTTTAGCGCTTGCCTTATAGTCGGACAAAGAAAACCCTACAGTAACTTTGGTAATTGTAGCCATCTTGTTTCCGCTACATTTACAGGGTTCGGAGATTCAGATTTGCTTTAATATTCTCGAATGTTCTGTTCGATGTACAGCGTCTAAATTAATCGGCTCTGTACAACTTTTTTTTTGACATTACCACTTTTTTTGCGTCATTATTTCCTGTTGTGACTTCTTTTTTTTTGCATTCTTTTTTATCTGCAGCAGACAGTGACTTTTCTCGGCCACCGTATGTATGACACCTATATACATACGTTTATATATATAAGAGGCTAAACTTCAGCTAACAGTTTGATCATGAGTCCATAAACGCCGATTTTAACTCGTCATGAAACGATGATGAAGGAGCAGCGGCCGGTAGTGAGCTAGCTTAGCATACCTCTGAGATACACGATCAGTCCAGTAGCTTATGATCGACCAGAAGTGGTATACTTCAAAATAAAAGCACAGTTTTACAATGCAGGAAATAAAGCAACCTTTCAAAATAAAAGCTGATGCTGTAACATCCTCTCTGGGTGGTTTCAGTCTCGTTTATGAACACAATTACAGATTAATGCGGATTTAAGGTGTTAGTGAAGATTTTCTGTTCCTTAAAACTGTTTCTTTTTCTGTCCACTAGAGGGCACCATCTTCACCAAAACAGGATTTTTATATTTTTTTATATCCTGTAAAAATTTAAAAATATATTGATCAGCTCTGAGGACCGGTGATGGGACCAACGCTCAGACTAAAGACCCGGTTTAGTTTAGGCTCCTAAAACTCTCTCCTGAGGACGAGGATGTGGATCAGATCTGGTTCAAGAACCTCATTGAGTCCAAAAATCTGGACCACAGAGTGTCGAGGGTTCAGGATTAAAGACCACGGCTGCAGGAGTTTGAAGTGGAGGTCTGAAGGTTCCCTCAGTAGGTCCTGAGTCTGAAGACTTTGCTGAGCCTGGAGGTGGCGCTGGAGTAGACGAGGAAGGACCCCTCCTCGGTGCTGAAGTGTTCCCAGTCTCTGCAGCCGAACGTGGGCAGACTGTGGACCGGGACGAAGCCCTCATAACCCTGCCACCTACGGATGGGAATTGATAAGATTTATTGATATTGATGCTGTTATCAATTCTGCTGATCGAGTCAATTCTTTAACGATTCCCTTATCAATGTCTTCCTTTGATTTTTTTAAAAAGTCGACTTTAGGTTTTCACCTTCACTCAAAAATTTATGTTATGCTCATGTTAACAAAGGTCATATGTTAGAGTGACCATATTCTGAATCCCCAAAAACAGGACACGACTACGCGGGGCGAACTTTTGTACGAAATTTTTAGTTTTTTTTTTTTTTTATCGGGTCCAGTTTTTATGTTCTTCTAACTCAGTTAAACATACTATTCTGAATTCCCAAAGACAGAACATTGGCATCGTGTCAGTGACTTTGTTTAGAGGTGAGCTGAGGGGCAGAGCTGCAGAGAGGACTGATCCTCTGCTCTGTTTTATAATGAATGAAAACACGTTCAGGACATTTAGGGTTTTATAAACTCCCCCCGGACAGCCCCTCAAAAGAGGACATGTCCGAGTAAAAGAGGACGTATGGTCACACTAACACTTGTACCTTCTGTGTCGTGCTGAGGCGGAGCTGCAGCGGCTGACGACCGGTGGAGAACATCGAGTACATGTGACTCCTTAGATCTGACGCTGTGCCCCGTTGATAAAGAGATGAATCGTTAATTTAAAATGTAAACGATGTCGATGGATTGAACCATTTAGAACCGGTTATCAACCCGAAAACTGGTTCTTGATTCTCATCCCTACCGTCACCTGAAAACCCACAATTACTTTGACCCCACCCACTCACCTGTAGACCACGCTGTTCAGAGAGTACGAGCTGCCATCATGAGAGTTTGCGACCACCAGGAACTTCTCATCTCCAACGGTGAAAAACTCCCAGTCCACGGCGCTGACCATGACAAGGACAGGTTAGAGGTCAAAGTTCAGTGATCTGTGTGGTTAAGTTGAGGGTTCAGGTGGTCACCTGTGCGTGAGGATGTCCTGGAAGCGGATGAAGGTCTGCGTCAGCGTGTTGAGCTCGTACACGGTGGAGTTGATGCTGTAGAGACTCGGACCGCGGCCTGAAATCAGCTGACTGTTCGCCACCACCAGGAAGAACCTGCTGTCGATCTGAAACGTCTCCCAGTCCGTGGCGCCGATGGTCTGCAGAGAGGACGCCAAACATCAGAGAGAGGGCGGGGGTTAACCAAGAGACTCCACCCACTTTATCTTTAACTTTAGAAAATTAAAGAAAACATGAAGGATCATGAGTCGGTGTTTTGTTCACATCCAAATCTAAACTATCAAACTGAATTATGACAAACTTGTCGAAGTCAGAGGCTCTGAAACCTTCGTCCTGCTCCCCACAGGCTGAACCTTCAGTGTCAGATCCAACAGGAGGACTCTGGGACTCTGAACGGACCAGAACCTTCTCCATGAACATCCTGTAAACTCCTCAGGAGAAGGTCGCCTGAAGGACCTCAACACCATCACACTGTTTTAAAGTCAGTGGAGTCGCCCCCTGCTGGACACCGAGGTGTATGTCCCTCTACAGTCTCTGAGTTTAAATCCTTGTAGGTTTTCTGAGCAGCAGAGAACCTTCAGGTTGGTTTTAGTCTGGGTGTAACGACTCCTGCGGCCTCTAGAGGGCCCCGTCAGGGTCCTCAGTGTGTCCTCCACCTGTGGACAGACTCAGGTGTATTTGTAGGTCTATTAAAGGTGGTGTAAAGACGGAGCTGCGGTTTAATGTCCTCAGACTGTTTCTGTCAGAAGTCGAATTAAAGGCTCAGAAACTTTTCATGAAGTTTTTTCACTTTTTTCTTTTTTTTTTTTGTGGTTTTAAAATCCAATAAAAGTCTTCAAAGACGATCCGCCCTGAAGGACGAGTTTAAAGAGGAGCTGACGGCGGAAACCCCCTCACACACACACACACACACACACACACACACACACACACACACACACACTTAAACACACTCACACACACACACACACACACACACACACACACACTTAAACACACACACACACACACACTCACAGCTGCACACTCCTCATTAATGACACCGCTCTGGTTTCCTGAGTTTTAATTGGAGGGTTTCTTCGTTTTCCTTTTAATCATCATGAAGAAATAGAAACTTTTTCATCCGTTTTATTTTCATCAAACTAAAAACGTCGATGACGGTTTAACCGTTAACGGCAGGACGTCCTGCTCGCCGCTTAATTACAGGAAACGCCACGCTCACAGGCTGCAGGTCACCTTCAGAGGTTTCCACCTTCAAACAGACGCAGAGAAGAATCTTCTTCTGAGCGAGAAGACTCAAAGAGGAGGAAAAATAAGTCCTGTTTAGGTCTGAGCCAAAGTCTTCAGTTCAGACGGAAAACTCGAGCGGGTTTCGAGATGAGGACGAGTCTCAGTGAAGACAGAAAATCCTGGATTACCGACTAAAGAGACGAGTCCAGGTGTGGTCAAGGTCCGAGACGAGTCAAAGAGTTGGTCCATCAGGTCCTACAGGGCCCAGACGAGTCCGGGTACAAACACAGAAAAACTGAAGGACCTCGAACAGAGACCCTCGAACCTGCAGCCACACCTGTCGTCCTGAACCTCACCTGTCGAGCCGCTGAGTCAGCGGTTTATCTGAGTCACTGTGATTACTGAGATCTTCTTCATCCTCCTCCTCTTCATCATCATGTCTGTCTGCTCTCTGCATCCTGCTGTCAGGACTCACCACCGGCGGGGTTTATGACCTATACTGCAGCCCGTCACCAGAGGGCGCTGTTCTCAGAGAGGAGGCAGACGGCGTCTATTCCAGATACAGGTTTCAAGGACTGTTAGAAGTCTGAGATGGTTTTAACTCGAAACGGTCTAGTCGCCTGTTTGAGTCTTCAAGAACACCGTGACCTGGATGAATGAGAATCTACATGGACATGTCTGAGACATTTTAGAGTTTGCACTTTGTCCACAGGGTGGAGCTAGAGTTCAGGAAAAACCTTCATTTTGATCTTCAGGGTTCATTCTCTGAGGAGCAGGATGAAGTTCGTTCAGGAGCTCTATACCTAAATCTGCTGCAGTAAAATAAGGACCAAAGACTGACCGGGACGCTCTGGAAGACCTGGAAACATCCGTCCAACCAGACGTAGATGGTGGAGCTGATGATGGTCGTCTGACCGTCAAAGGTGTTGGCCACCACCAGGAAGTGGTACGGTCCGACGGTGAAGAACTCCCAGTCATACGCTCCAGATGTGGACAGAGTCTGATTCACCTCGAACAGCTGAGGGGAGACGGGGGAGAGACAGGGGGAGAGACAGGGGGGACACCATGAGAACAATGAGACCATGAGAAGAGAGACAAGAGTCAGAAAAACCCAGAAGAAGAAGAAGAAATCCAGGAGGGGGCAGCAGAGTTCAGACCTGTGAGTCGGAGTCCCACCTGTAGATCACACTCTGGATGTTGTGGTCCGAGTCTCTGGCTGAGGACACAAAGACCAACAAACAGGGTCATCAATAAAAACTGATCTGCTTCGATCCCAGACCTGGTCCTCTACCTGCTCCGTGTCAAAGTCTAATTTCAACGTATGCAGACGATTAATATATACAGTTAATATAGACAGTTAAAATATACAGTTAAAACCACAATAGATGAACTTTAGATCAGGAACTTGAAGTGGTGGTGAAATGAAGAACTGATAATAAATGAGTTCTTAGTACTTCTTTCAGTTCAGATGAACATGATTACAGAATGAGACATGATAGGGAGGGTAAATTCACCTGAAGGGAAAAATGAAAAGTACAATAACGTATAGAACCATGGTGATATGGACATATGATCCAAGAACAAACACAGATTTAAAGATGGAGTTAAAGATCATTTATGAGTCAAACAGATTCTTATTTAGATGAAACTACTTTGTAAAATCAGTGTTTGTCTGATTTACCTCAAATATCTAAAGTCTGTTTCTGTAAATTAAATCATGTTGAATGTTTGTTGATATTTGAACCTCTGATTATTTCTGAACTATAACGACACTGTGGAAATAAGATCCAGTCATGTGTGTGTCTGTTGTTTGTAGTTTTGTTGTGTTGTTTTTGTCTCGTCGGTTATTGATGTTGTCTTTGTTTTGTTTGTTTGTGTCTTTGAGATGGAGAGTAAAGTGTAAATGTAAACTTCAGGAAGAAGAGCGAAGCTGATGGAGATCTGAAGAAACGAAAGGAAACAATTCAGGTCCAGCTTACGAGCAGATCCAGTTTCAGAATAAAGACCTGATAGTGACTACAACGGTTTACACGAGATACACACACCAAACACACACGCACGCACACACGGTGCAGTCCTCAGTCCGTTAACCCTGAAGCTCTTTGAGGTTTATGCAAATGAGGATCATCATCATCGACTCTGACTGAGTCAAATCTGGATTTTAGGTCTGAGCAGGTCTTTGTAGACTTTTGTAGGGTCTTTGTAGACTCAGGTCTAAGTTCTGGACCTGGATCTGCGTTCCTGTCCAATCTGTTCAAACATCAGACATGAAAAGGAAACCAGGACCACGTGTGGGATCTAACCACAGTCCACCTGCATCAGCTGCTCCCTCTCTCCTCCTCTGAACCTCCCTCTGTTTTCTTTTAGATGGTCTGATCTGAGTGTGTTTTATCTTCACACACACACACACACACACACACACACACACACACACACACACACACACACACACACACACACACACACACACACACACACACACAGGGAGCAGGTGGAGGTGTGTTTGATGTTTCACAGAGACGAGGAGGTTCTGAACTCTCAAACCTTGAACCTGAACTGGTTTTTCCTCCACCGTGAACAAACTCACAGGCTGGTCCGGTTTACCAGGATCCTCTGGCGTTTTATCTAATCCTGGTTTAACTAATCCTGGTTTATCTAATCCTGGTTTATCTAATCTTCATTTATCTAATCCTGGTTTATCTAATCCTGGTTAAACTAATCCTGGTTTATCTAATCTTTATTTATCTAATCCTGGTTTAACTAATCCTCATTTATCTAATCCTGGTTTATCTAATCTTCATTTATCTAATCCTGGTTTATCTAATCCTGGTTTATCTAATCCCGGTCTAAACTTGACTCGGTCATTTGTCGCTAAAATCGTTCAGTCGTCTGCATTAAGAGTGAGTTCAGGTGATGATCGGAGGCCCGAGGACGGATCCAGGGGGAAGTCCACACCGTTTAATAACTCAGTTTAAAACCAGTTTAACACCAGAGTCCCACTAACACCCACAGTGAAAGGCGGGCTCCTTCAGTCTACCTCGTCTGTGATTGGCTACCACCAGGAAGCTGTTGTTGTGAATCTGAAAGGCCTCCCAGTCCAGAGCCGAGTACGTCTGAAGAGTTTGGTGACGGAGGAAACGCCGCCGTCGAGGGTTCCAGCGATAGATGACTGACAGCTCAGGCTCCGCCTCCTTCGAGTTTGCCACGACCAGGAAAACCTGACGAGAAAAAACGAAACTGAGTTTAAGTTTAAGGAAGAAGAAGAAGAAGAAGAAGAAGAAGAAGAAGAAGAAGAAGAAGAAGATTAGGAGGTCGAGGAGTTAACAATCTAAATTTATCAGTGTCTCACCAGGATACACCAAAACAATGATCCATGATAGACAGGTGAGTTTAATCCTTAATCTGATGTAATCTGGTTTATTTTCACTCTATAGTGACGGGGATTTAAAGGCACTGACTCACTTTAGGACCACGCCCCTGGTGGACTCTGGAGGAACTGCAGTTTTTAGTGACACAGGTCTGAGTTTTAAAGTCTCAGAGGAGTTTCCTTCAGTCTGTGTGTTTCCTCCTCTGAGCGCATTCAGAGCTTTGTGTTAACACCTGTGAGTGTGTGTTCCTCACACACACACACACACACACACACACACACACACACACACACACACACACACACACACACACACACACACACACACTGACTGTACAAACAGAGGAGCTCTCTTTGTTCCCGTCTCTTTCTCTAACCTTCACAGACTGTCAGCGAACACGCCGCTCATCCGGAGGAGATGAAGAGTTCAGAGTCAACAGCGGGTCACATGCTCAGAGGTCACCCTGAGGTCAAATCATCAGGAGGACACGCCCCCTGGTCTAAGAGACCCCTGTGATGAACCTTCAGCTGCTCTCACCTGGTCCTGGACGGTGAAGTGTTCCCAGGCTCGGGCCTCCTGGGTGCTGATGTTCTGGTAGAGCTGGAACGACCCGTCCCTCCACTTGTAGATCCCCGACCCGGGTCGAGAGTCTCTGCAGGATCAGAGCGAGAGGGTCACTACTTTCCTGTCCACAGACCAGTTCTTGTCTCTGCTCAGATGTTTCTGTACCTGTTGGCTGCAGCCATGAAGAGTCCTTCAGACGGGATGGAGAAGACCTCCACGTCAAAGGTCTCTGAGTTGGTGTACAGGTCCTGGTAGTCCTCCACGTAATCCAGACGCTCCTTATCTGCAGAGTCATGAGACGGGAACAGGGGCGAGTCAAGACACAAGTACAGGTTGATAAATTCTAGACTTTGCATAGAAATGTTCGAACGCACGGTTGATAAATGAGGACCAAAGGAGTTCTGGTCCAAACAACAGAAACACAAAGTTCTACGATCCAGTCCGGTTCAGACCAGAGAGAGAAAAGAGAGCAGACAGAGTCAAACATGTGGAGTTCTCCCAGGTGGAGGACTTACTCTGCAGCAGTGCCCTCCAGGTGAGTCCGTCACAGATGAACAGGTCTCTCCTCTGAGCGTTGAACCACAGCTGACCTTGTTCTGGTTCTGAACACCGAGGAGGATTTCCCAGAGTCACCCTGGCCTCGGCCTCTGAAACACCAGAGCGAAACATGAAAACAGGTCCTCAGGAAGTCTGGGTCTGAGGACTCAACCCGGACCTGGGACTCCATAAAGGGTCGAACCCACCGTAACACCGAGTTAGACCCCCCCTCCAGAGATGAATGTTGTGGATTACAGACTACAGCGGGGTGCCGCAGCTCAAGGAAGATTATTTATGATCATTTCTTCATGGAAATACAATCAGACCGAGACGCTGAGACAGAAGAACTACCGCGTCTGTAAAATGATTAATATGGTGATTATTACTTCAAGGAAATGATGAAGAAATGATCATAAATGTTCTTCCTTGAGCTGAGGCATCCCGGTGTAGTCCTAACTCGGTGTGTTTGACCTTAAATCAGTTTCCCGTCAGAATATCCCTTTAAAGCCTGGAACTGTCAGGGACCCGGGTTCACCATCAGTGAGGTGGTGAGACGCTTCATCTGTCAGATTAGAGAGCAGCGAGAACAGACAGGACTCATCAGTGGAGGTCACGGGGAGGTGAAGGTGTATCTGCTGGGATGGAAAGTCCCTCTTCTGCAGGAACCAGCCCACAGTGACGGAGCGGGAACTGGAATCAGCCGTCAGAATTTAACAGAAACCGGATCTGAGCGTGTGGTTGACGGATGGAGCTGAACTGAGGCTAATGAGGGCCTTCGTCACTCTCGAAACCACAAGTCTTCATTAAGAGCAGACAGACGACTCCCACCGCTCAAGACTTCAGTCCACATCTGCCCCAGGACACCACAGAACCTGGTTCACCTCAGAGACCGGCTCTGCTGCAGGGAAACCCCACCATTGTTCTCTGATCAACCTGCACTGGGGCTGGAACTACACTTCCCATGATGCTTTGGGGATGTCAACAGAAAGCATCATTTGGCCACAAACTCAGAAGCTGAATCCTGAACTCCAAAAACAGAAGACTTTTGGACTTTAGATCAGAACTGAAGTTTGGATTTTATTCCTGCAGACAGAAGAACCCGGTCCAGACTGAGAGAAACCTCCTTCAGTTCAGGAGGTGATTACTAAGAGTCAGGTCTGCGGCTGCAGGTCTCGACTTCAAACAGACCTCAGACTGTTGGACCGGTTCAGGAGTCGAAGCTCTGAGTCATCCAGAGTCAGATATTTATCAGTCTGATTGACTTTATTAACTCTGAGAGCCTCAGGCTGATCTATCACAGCGTCTGACTGAAGAGACCGTCCGTCTGTTCGCTCTGATGAAATCTGCTTTAATGAAACGATCATCAGTCATTTACAGACTCATCATGGCAGACGGAGGAACCGGAGAAAAACAACTCAGACAAATCTACAGCTGACACTTCTGGGCGAGAAATAAAGGGTCTACTTTTTAAAACTTCAGAAAATAAAGTTTTAAATTCATGAACAGAGGTGGTTTTCTCCCAGAACAATCAATAACCATTCAATAATTATGATCAGTCCAATACAGGTGCACCCATCAGGTCAGAGGGGACGAAACGGAGACGAGAAAAACAAAGGAAATAAAGAAAATAAAAACAAAGAAAATAAACAAAAAAATAAAAACAAGAAAATAAACAAAAAAATAAAAACAAGAAAAAAAACAAAAAAAAAAAACAAAGAAAATAAACAAAAAAAATAAAATCAAAGAAAATAAAAAAGAAAATAGAAAAAAAGAACAAAAAAATCAAAGAAAATGAAGAAAATAAATAATTAATAAACAAACAAAAAAAATAAAAAAACAAAGAAAATAAAAACAAAAAATAAAAATAATAAATAAAGACGCTTAGACGGGATAGGAGACACTCTATCATCAGAGTCTGAAGTCCCGCTGCAGTGAAAACACACAACAACAACAACACACCTGTGTGTAGATGTTTATAAAGGGCTGAGAGTGTGAACACCTGTGATTCACCTGCTGTCAATCACACACACACACACACACACACACACACACACACACACACACACACTCAGGTTACAGAGTCTCTGATACCAACACAGCTCAGACCCGCACAGACTGACGGGTCAGGGGGGTCGGACCGCCCTGATGTGAACCCGCTCATCCAACCAGAACCACTGAGACCGGCAAAGCTTCAAGTCTGGTCTTCTGATCCGGTCTCGGGTCTCTGGGATGATCAGGAACCAGAGCTGACTTTAAAGGACTCTCCTCACCGTAGGGGAAAACTGGTCCATGGTGGTCCGGCTGGACTGGGATGGATTTGAGGACCTGGGGGACGGACAGTTCTGCCAGACTGGACTCAGCTGATGGACAGAGTCTGGGTTTAGCATCTGAACCAGGAAGTAGAACCAGCTGCCGCAGTAAACCCTGAACACGGACAGAACCAGCAGAGGACTTCATGAAATACTCTCATCTGATTGGCCCGCTGTCAAGTCCTGAATCTGACCCCAGACTCACAGAGAACCGGCCCCTCATCCTCCTCCTGCTGCCGATGAAGAACCTGGACCCTCTGGTGTTGAGGGCGCTGGGGAAGGCCCGGACCTGTTTACTGGGAAGAAGAAAAACCAGTTTAATGTGACAGTGGGACGTCTTTTCTCTGAGACCTCAGAACCAAAAAAACAGTTTCAGAGATTTGAGTCAAAACAAGTAAAAAAAAGTTAAAAATGATGATTTTATGAACATTTATCTGCTCGTCAGTTTTGGGGACAAAGAGGCTAAAATTAACAGGAACTGAAGGTTCAAAGTAACCGAACAAGACCGAGTTCAGTCTGGACCGGTCCAAACAGGACTAAACGGATCTGGACTTAAGGGACTCACAGCTCCAGGGACAGTCCACAGTCGATGGTCAGCGTGGCGTACGGTCCGGTGACGGCCACCACGAGCGTGTGCCAGCGGTTATCATCCAGCCCCACATCTTTAAAGGTCATCCGGCTCCGCCCACCAACACCTGGGGGTGTGACCAGGAAGTGCAGGCTGTTCTCTGAGACACGTAAGCCCAGCACCAGAGAGTCCGAGTCCTGGTCCACCAAGGAGAAGATGTACTCGTTCCTCTGGAAGCAGACAGAAGGAGGAATGATTGAGCGCAGTGTTAGTTCAGGCAGGCTGCAAAGTCAAGCCCCGCCCACAGTACATCAGCTGATCCTGTCAACAGTCATTGTCCTGCTGACTTCCTGTTTCCTCTGTAAACCACTCCCCGTCCCTCCTCCACCCTGATCCTCCTTCCAGGGTCTTCGCTGCTGCTCTCCCCGCCTTAAATCTCGGCGTACACTCATGAACAAACTTAGACCGTACTGGACTGGACTGGACCAGGACTGGTTCCTTCCAGTTCTGCTGGTTTACCTTCTGTCTCAGTCTCGGGATCTTGACGGTGGCGACCAATGAGAACTCTGACGGGAAGTAGTCACAGTTGGTGAAGATTTGGGAGGCGGGGAAACTCAGCGCCGTCGTCTCAACGCCGCCCAGCCGGAGACCTCTGGACCCTCTGGACTGAACCATCTGCAGCTGAAGGTCACAGATCAGCTGTTCAGTCTTTCATTGGGGGGTCACTTTGTCTGTGTGTCCACAACACGACATCAGGCGGCTTACCTGTGTGGGCGGGGCTTGTCCTGGACGTGGCAGGACTCTGGTCAGCAGGTCGAGAGGAAGTAGGTCTGAGGTGAGAACAGAAACTCGGTGAATATCGGATTAAAGCGATGTTTGATAAGAACATGTTAGACGAGGTTCATCACCAAGTCTGTTTTAGTTTAAGGTCGTCACGTGTTAGCGAACCAACCGATAAAAACCTCCGCTTCGTTTGTTTTAGTCCGACACCGAACCAAGAAGTGTCGTTCATGAACGATTCGTTCAAAAGAACTGCTGAGTGAACGGCATGAACGGAATCACTCAGAGACCTGATTCGTTCATTTCTGAGTTCAGTTGAGTGGGAGTGGAACTGCCGCCTTTGACTCTTTGGCGAATGACACACAGGCAATCAGTAAGTGAGGGGCCGGAGTCTCATGATTTACTTAGAGCGAACGAATCGTTTCATGAACAGATTCTAAAGATTTAGTCAAAAGAACTGATCTTCCATCACTAAAGTGAACTGTCCTGAGGTCTGAGGGATCTAAATTTAGCACTCGTTTTCACCTAAGGGGAAACGTCTCAACAAAGTCCAGTTATCCTTTCAACAAAGAACTGGAAATCATAGATGCTGCATGAACACAGTAGTACAGAAGCACTGACTGATTCAGTGAACGAATCTTTTGAACGAATCGTTTTAATGAAAGGATTCTAAAGATTCAGTCAAAAGAGCCGATCTTCCATCACTAAAGTGAAGTGAACGAGTCTTTCCTGTTTCTGAACCTAAAAATACTCGTCTCTTTATTTCGATGAATGTTTTTTATCCTCTGGGGAACTAAAGTCGTGTCGGCGCTGAGGTGAGTTCGTGGTTTTGTTTGATTGAAGTATCAGGATGTAAATGTTGTCGGTCACTGATTCAGTTCAGAGATATTTAAAGTGTCTTTAATGACCTGAAACACGATAACAGAAATGTTACGATGACCTCCAGAGAAACGGCGAGGAGTTATCGCTCAGATTCAAAAGTGATTTTCATAGAAATGAAGAGTGTGGCTGTTACACAACAGATGTTTGCATATTCAAACGTCTTTCTAACAGGACGTCTTCCTCTAAGCCCGGATCATCATTATCTTTAGAGCCGATAGATTCCACGTGTTTGTGTGTGTTTGAGGTCATGTGACCACATGGTCGGACTGAAGTCAGCAGCAGCTAAACTCAAACAATGAAAGTCTCCAACATCCAGATCAAGACGAAGTGAAGAGAGACCGGAGTTTTAGTCTTTAACAGTTTTACTGGAAGTCCCCTTTAAGACGGTCTTTGGTTCCTGCAGCAGGATCAATGGAAGATGAATGGAGGATGAATGGAGGATGAATGGGGGATGAATGGAGGATGAATGAAGGATGAATGGAGGATGAATGGAGGGAGGGGACGACATGTACAGAAACAGATCTCACATTTCAAAGACATGAAAAACACGGAGGAACAAAGACACTCAGACGGACGGAAACACGCCTCTATAGTCTAAAGATCCAGTCGTTCACCACGCCCTGATCCTCCACCACTTCCTGGTCCACCTGAGTCTCAACAGGACCCTGATTGAGAGACTGAACCAGAGACTGAGACCAGGAGTGTGTATGTGGTTTCCTCTGCAGACTGCCTCTAGTGGACACTTGGGGAACTGCAGATTCTATCAGAGAACCTGTCCCTTCAGAATAAAAGCCTCTAACTCTGTCTGAGGACGGTGACTCTGATGGAGATCCTCGTACCTGTGCAGGGTCTCCAGCTCTGTCCTCGGACTCTGGCGATGAGCAGCATCCATGTCAGCAGCAGGGGGCGACACAACGACATCACTCCTGATGACCTCCGATGGCGTGATCCCACATCATCGCTCTGCTTCCTGATTCGCATTAAACACCGTCATTTTGCAGCTGACAGGAAACCTTCGCCGGGACAGCATCCAATCAGACGATCGCACCGCTGAGCTGTGGCATGCTGACTCGACTGTCTGCGCCGAAAAAAAAAACAAGAATCATTAAAGAAGCTCTTTTTTGTTGTGTTTATACAAAAAATCTTCTAATATCAGTCAATAGTTTTAGTTATTGATTATTTGGTAATATATCGATATTCTCTTCTGTCTGTGTCGTCAACATTTGAACATTTCTGATTGTCTGAAAAAACAGGTTTGGGACAGAAGTTTTTACGTCAGAGGAGAAGACATCAAGACCTTTCCCAACATTTTTCCCAGCATGCTCTGGTGCCGAGATAAGAGCGTCTGTTCAGTCAGACTTTAACTGGAGAAAATTTATCGGACATCCACGACTTTAAGACAGTTCAACTCAGAGACGTGATCAGGTGTAAAAGAGCAGAGTGTTGTCTGCATAAACAGGAACTTTAAAAAGTTTTTCTCATTTTCTCTAAAACCACAAACTAAAAAGTCTTTTCTGAGGTTTTTTCTCACAGACCAACAAAGTCGAACAGAATTAAGAACAAAAATCAAACATGTTTTTAAAACTTCAGTAAAAGTCTAAAGTCTGTTCGTCTGGATTCAGACCTTCTGACCTTCACTGCAGTTACAGCTGAGACTCTTTCGGAGTTTGTTTCTCTGAACATCTAGAGACTGAAAGTTTGACCCGTTCTTCTTTCCTAACGGCTCAAACTCAGTCTGATTGGATGGAGAGCGTCTGTGAACAGCAGTCTTCCCTCAGATACTCGTTGGGGTTTAGGTCTGGACTCGGCTGATGTTCTAACTCATGAATGTTCTCAGATCTAAACCGGTCCACTGAAGCTCCGGCTCAGGGTTCAGGCTCATTGTCCTGCTGGAAGGTGAATGTCTCTTTAGCTCCATCCATCAACTCTGAGCAGCTTCTCTGTCCCTGCTGAAGAAGAGCGTCTCCACAGCATGAGGCGTCCACCTCCATGTCTCACTGTGGGGACGGTGTGACTTTGACATTCAGACCACAAAGTTGAACCTTGTTCTCATCTGACAGATGACCTTCTTCCACAGGTCTGCTGAGTCTCCTCCTGTGTCAAACTGCAGACAGGACTTCTGATGTCTTTCTTCTTCCATAAAGTCCAGATTTGTGGAGTACATGTCTTCTAGTTGTCCTCCTGTGGACAGATTGTCCCACCTGAGCTGTGGATTTCTGCAGCTCCTCCAGAGTGACTGTGGACCTCTTGTCTGCTCCTCGTGGTCTCAGTCTGTCAGTTCAGGTGGACAGTGGTCATGTCTCTGTAGGTCAGCAGATGTTTCTCCTGTTTTTGGATGATGGGTAGAAGAGTTCTCCTTCACATCTTTGGATCTTTGTTTCTAACCTGACTCTGCTTAACTGTCTATCATGTATATACATCTATATCTATACATCTATATCTATATATCTATATAGACGCCGGTCCAGATTCTGAGACCTCAGACTGGAACCCTCTCTGATCCTGATCTTCAGCAGGACTAAGAAACCCTCTTAGATGTTAGTCTGAAGTAAAACTCACCTGTTCAGAGCTCAGAGTCCGGTCCAGCAGTCCTCTTTGGGTCAGACTTTAAAAACCAAAGTCCAAACCCCTCAGAGACATGGTCCTCCAAAAGTCCTTCCTGATCCGGGTCTCTGTTTGAGGACAAAGTCTGGAGAATAGATCTAAACCTCATGGACCAGGTCTGTGGATTATAATCCAAACAAGTCTGCTCTCTCGTCCTCAGAACCACCAGGACGGGTTCTGGACTGGTCTTCTGTTTGAGTCCAGAGATCCTGATGTGGTTTTTGTTGGTCCCCTTCTTGTCTTTCTCCAGATCTTCAGAGGATCCAGATCTCTGATCTCCTCAGAACTTTGGGTCTTCAAGTTCTGGTCCTGGACTCTGAGGTCCTCCTTTGACTGAGACTCTGTGCAGATCCAGAATCCTCCTCAGACTGTCAGAGCAGAACTGAGGAGAGAGAGAGGGTTTACCTGCAGGTGAGGCAGGCTCGCTCGCCCCTCATTTACATATAAAAGACAGGGAGGAGCTGAAGGAGAGAGAGAGAGAGAGAGAGAGAGAGAGAGAGAGAGAGAGAGAGAGAGAGGAGAGAGAGAGAGAGAGAGAGAGAGAGAGAGAGAGAGAGAGAGAGGGGGGGGCGGGGGGGGGCTTCAGTCTGTTTCACAGTTTTTTCTCTGCATGAAAACCTCTGATCACAGCGTGGTCCGGGACAATCAGCTGGATCTGGTTCTGAAGATCAGACCCTTACAGATGAGCCGGAGAGAAAACTTCAGATCAGAGCGAGAAGAAGAAGAAAGAGAGAGAGAGAGAGAGAGAGAGAGAGAGAGAGAGAGAGAGAGAGAGAGAGAGAGAGAGAGAGGGGGATGAAGAAGTGACTGATCTCTCTCTCTGACTGATCATCAGTCAGGAGGAATTCCCCAGGTAAACCCAAGCTCCGCCCACTTACCTGTTTGCCCCGCCCTCCTCCTTGCTGGGACCCTGAGGTCTCCCTTACCTTCAGGTCTCTGTAAACCCGGTTCTTTCTGTCCTGGGTCGTTGTGGGTCTGCAGGTTCTGGTTACTCAGACATGAAAAACTGGATCTGGTCTGATGTGGAGTCTGTGGATTCAGTTAATCCTGAAGAACCCAGGTCTAAACCTGAACCTGGATCTGATCCAGCAGGAAACAGAAGAATCAGGTTTTGGTCTTTTCAGGTCCGGACTGTAAAATCCACTCAGTCTGTGAGACTGACACAGTTCAGGTAGAACCTCGGACTGGTTCTGAGTCTGGACCCTGAACCCTTTAAGGCTTAATTAACGTCACCTGGACCCTGATTGAACACCTGAGGCTGCAGGAGCTCCGAACCCGGACAGAGAACCGTCACTTTACCGTCTCAGGACCGGAAATATAAAACAATAAATATGATAATAAATAAAAGTCTGTTTGTAAAATGAGGGTGGTCTTCTATCAGAGTAAATACGGTAATCTGTCAGGAAAGGGTTAACAGGTGAGAGAGTTCAGGGTGTGGTTCAGATTAAAGCAGATTAATTAAGAGACTGAAGAGAAACGAGGAGGGATTAAAAAATGAACTCAGGCTCAGTTCATCTCCTCCTTCCCTCCTCTGTCCTCCCCTCCTTCCCTCCTCTGTCCTTTCTTCCTTCCCTCCTCTGTCCTCTCTTCCTTCCCTCCTCTGTCCTCCCTTCCTTCCCTCCTCTGTCCCCTCTTCCTTCCCTCCTCTGTCCTCCCTTCCTTCACTCCTCTGTCCTCTCAGGTGAGTCCTTCACCTTCAGTCTGAAACAGTTTCCTGTCGATCAGCGATAAAACCCTCAGAGGAGCCGAGGAGCGATATCATCTCTGTAAGTGTTTCTGAGGAGGACACACACACACACACACACACTTCCTCTGTCAGCGCACAGGTGAGTGATGACACCAAGATAACACCTGAGGACGGAGGGAGACCGACCAGAGAGAGAGAGAGAGAGAGAGAGAGAGAGAGAGAGAGAGAGAGAGGGGGAGAGAGAGAGAGAGAGAGAGAGAGAGAGAGAGGGAGAGGAGAGAAGCTGAGTCTGTTTGAACCTGTAAAATCACTCATAGAAGCTTTATTCAGTCTGCTAAATACACACACACACACTAATACACACACACACACACACACACACACACACACACACACACACAGGAGCAGCAGGTAATGACAGTGTCTGTAAACACACAGCTTTAGCAGCACTAATGACCTGTCTGCGCACACACACACACACACACACACACACACACACACACACACACACACACACACACACACACACACACACAGTAACTGATCTGTGTGTGTTTGTGTGTGTGTGCATGTGTAAGTGTGTGTGTGTTTCTTTGATGCTGGCTGTTGTTGTCAGAGGCAGGTCGAGACAGGAAGCTGCTGAGATCACACACGTCACCTGACCTAAAGGTACGACTGAACTACTGCACGCACACACAGACACACACACACAGACACACACACACACACACACACACACACACAGATTATTTGATTTTATGAAATAATTAAAAGTCTTAAATGAAGATTTTTGAACTCAGAGCTCAAAGAGCAGAAGAACCTACAGAACCTCCATCAGAACCTCGGACCTGTCTGGTTCTCCTCTAAGAACCTCTGACCTGTCTGGTTCTCCTCTAAGAACTTTGGACCTGTCTGGTTCTCCTCTAAGAACCTCTGACCTGGTTCTCCTCTAAGAACTTTGGACCTGTCTGGTTCTCCTCTAAGAACTTTGGACCTGTCTGGTTCTCCTCTAAGAACCTCTGACCTGGTTCTCCTCTAAGAACTTTGGACCTGTCTGGTTCTCCTCTAAGAACTTTGGACCTGTCTGGTTCTCCTCTAAGAACCTCTGACCTGTCTGGTTCTCCTCTAAGAACTTTGGACCTGTCTGGTTCTCCTCTAAGAACCTCTGACCTGTCTGGTTCTCCTCTAAGAACTTTGGACCTGTCTGGTTCTCTTCTAAGAACCTCTGACCTGTCTGGTTCTCCTCTAAGAACCTCTGACCTGTCTGGTTCTCCTCTAAGAACTTTGGACCTGTCTGGTTCTCCTCTAAGAACCTCTGACCTGTCTGGTTCTCCTCTAAGAACCTCTGACCTGTCTGGTTCTCCTCTAAGAACTTTGGACCTGTCTGGTTCTCCTCTAAGAACCTCTGACCTGTCTGGTTCTCCTCTAAGAACTTTGGACCTGTCTGGTTCTCCTCTAAGAACCTCGGACCTGTCTGGTTCTCCTCTAAGAACTTTGGACCTGTCTGGTTCTCCTCTATCAGAACCTCGGACCTGTCTGGTTCTCCTCTAAGAACTTTGGACCTGTCTGGTTCTCCTCTAAGAACCTCGGACCTGTCTGGTTCTCCTCTAAGAACTTTGGACCTGTCTGGTTCTCCTCTAAGAACTTTGGACCTGTCTGGTTATCCTTACTTTTATAACCACGTTTCCGTGGTCGTCGTAGTTTTCGGTGAATAAACAGACCCAGGATCGTTTGTTTCTTCGTTGAGTTTATTTCTCGTACTTTCTGATCCAGAGACAAATGAAGGAACCTTCTCTCCATCATCTGAACGTCCAGCTTCATTTAAAAATAAGAACCTCACAGCAGCTGGAGCTGAGATCAGGATGAAGAAGAACATCATCATCGTCCTTTGAGAAGAGGTAAAGTGCATAAATCCATCGGAGAGGAGCCGAGCGTCACCGTCACCACCATCTTTATGAAAACGTCACTGAGAAGAAGGTCAGCCGAGGGTCCGAGGAGGAGGAGGAGCAGAGATGGTCTGGACTCCTCACCTCCTACGATAACGTCTGAAAACACAAACCTCTGATTCTCATCCATGGACCTCAGATCAGCTGATCGTGGTCCATGAATCCAGAACCGGTCCATCTGTTTGATCCGTTTCAATAATTCTCTTCCTGTTTTTACAAAAACCATAAAAACTCTGAAGCTTTAATGATTAAATCAGAACCATGATTTTCTCTCAAAGTTTCCATCTCTAAAAAAAAGATTTCTCAGTTTTTTAATTTTTACAGGATTTAACTGACCGACTGTTTCAATAATTAAACTTTTTTATCTAAAGTTTGAACTTTGATTTGATCGACTTTAATCATCTGATTATTTCATAAAAACGACTGTTTGGCTCAAATGTTTGAAAATGTCGAAGGCTGAGATGAAAGTCCATCTGATCATCATTAGAATTATTCTTATTTTTCCTATTCTCATTATTATCATAATCATAATCATTATAATTATCATTGTTCTCATTATTATGATGATAATGAGAATAGTGAGTCATCATCACTCTTCCTCTGACTCTGTATCAGGATTATTTTAAAACTTTAAATTTTGACATTTTTTCCTCTTAAATTTTTTGTTTTCACTCTTTTTTAAATTATATTTTTTCGTTTTTTTCAGTTTTTCGTATTTTTTATTAAAACTTTCGTCAAACTTTAATTTTCTGTCGGACTCACAGGAAGAAGCTGATGATGAAGATGAAGATGATGAGGATGATGATGTCACGGTGAAGATAGTCACATGACCTCACAGCTGATTTCTTCTTCTGTTGACGTTTTTCTTTTTACATTTTTTTTATTTTCCGATCGGCGCCACTCGTCCGTCCATCAGTTCATCGATCAGTCCGTCTCATCGGCGCTCTGAGTGTGTGTGTGTGTGTGTGTGTGTGTGTGTGTGTGTGTTTGACTGGTTTCCATGGCGACAGGGAAGATGATCACATCCACCTAAGTCTCCGGATGCTGGCGGGTGTTTGCTGTGATGGCGAAGGCGAGAGAGTTTCCGACGTTTACAAACACACGCAGAGCGCCGAGCGTGTCGCAGCCTGATGACATCATCTCTAAAGGCCCAGAGACTTCCTGACGATCTTCTGGGCGAGTTTGTAGAACTGCTCTCTGTCCTCACGCCACATCTTCGAGGCGTCCACGTTGGCGCCGCTCTCATCGTTCGGCTCTGAGAGGAGACAAGGAGAGATTAGGAAACAACAAAGGAAACAACAGAGGAAACAAAACAAGGAAAGAAGGAAAAGTGAGGAAACAAGGAGATAAAGAGGACATAAGGAGACAAGGAGAGATTAGGAAACAACAAAGGAAACAACAGAGGAAACAAAACAAGGACAGAAGGAAAAGTGAGGAAACAAGGGGATAAAGAGGACATAAGGAGACAAGGAGAGATTAGGAAACAACGGAGGAAATAAAACAAGGACAGAAGGAAAAGTGAGGAAACAAGGGGATAAAGAGGACATAAGGAGACAAGGAGAGATTAGGAAACATTGGAGGAAATAAAACAAGGGCAGAAGGAAACATCATCAGTGACGTCATCAGTGATGTCACAGGTTACCTGCCAGCATGCTGACCACGGACAGGAGGATCTTCTCCACGCTCTGAACCGGACTCCACCTCTCAGCGCTGCTCTCATAACCCATGGGGTCATCGCCAGGGGCGTGGAGGATGGAGATACAGACCCGCCCGTCAGGGTAGACTGAGGAGGAGGAGGAGGAGGAGGGGAGAGAGGAGGGAGTAGGAGGGGAGGAAAGGAGAGGAGAGGAGGGGGAGGGAGGAGAGGAGAGGAGGAGAAGAAAGAGAAGGAGGAGAAGAGGTGAGGAGAGGAGGAGGGAGAGGAGAGGAGAAGGAGGGAGAGGAGATGAGGAGAGGAGAGGAGGAGAAAGAGGAGGAAGAGAGGAGGAGGAGGAGAGGTGAGGAGGAGAGGAGAGGAGGGGAGGAGAGGAGGAGGAGAGGAGAGGAGGAGGAGAAGAGGTGAGGAGAGGAGGAGGGAGAGGAGAGGAGGAGAGGAGGAGGAGAAAGAGGAGGAGGAGAGGAGAGGAGGGAGGGGGAGGAGGAGGAGAGGAGAGGAAAAGGAGACAAGTGAGGATGAAGGAATCAACGTAATCTGAAATAAACACTAATGTACACACACACACTCACAGACACACAGACTTCGTTGTTTTTTCTTGTTTCTCTTGTTTGTTGTTGGAGGATCACAGAAACACTTAGAGCAGGAAGTTCAGATCAGGGACATGCTGGTGAGTGTGTGTGTGTGTGTGTGTGTGTGTCTGTGTGTGTGTGAGTGTGTGTGTGTGTGTGTGTGTGTGTGTGAGTGTGTGTGTGTGTGTGTGTGTGTTTGATGATGATGATGATGATGATGATGAGGGGTCACGGGCGTAGTGTCCCGTCCTCTAATCAGTACTGAGCGTGCTCAGACTGACTCCCTGCTGTGACATCATGACTCAGTCCACTAATCAGAGCGCTAATGATAGCATGCTAATGACATGCTAACAGCGTGCTAACGGCGGCAGAACGCCGTGACACGCTCAGACTCGTCTGATGAAGCTTTCAAGTCGGAGTCTGATGTCACATGACGGCGTGTGTGTGAGGAGGCGTGGACTCACTGTTGGGGTGGAACATGTCGCAGGTGAACCTCATCTTTGGGGGGCTGAGGGGGTAGTCTGAAGGGAAGCTGAGGACGGCGGGAAACACGCCACCTTCAAAACACGTGTCCTGAGGACCCCTGAAAAAACACAAAAACAGAGACATGAAGACCACAGACCTCCTCCAGACCTCCTCCAGACCTGAAACACTCGGAGCTTCATGATGAGGAACAAACAGTGGGTCAGACTCCAGAACCTCACTGGACTCTCTGGTTTAACTGGTTTAACTGGTTTAACTGGTTCATGTCTCAGTGACAGGAAGTTTGACGTTCGCTCTGAGGAACGCTCATCAAAGACGAAGGACTGTGGCGTTCCCCATTTTAGGTCCAACACTTTTTAACCTCTACCTGTTCCCATCAGGAGACACGGAATCGACCTTCACAGCTGTGCTGACCACACGCAGACTTAGGTTCCCGTGTCTCCTGATGACTGCGGCCCGTTAACGACCTTTTTAAACGAGTTTTAGACGAACATCCTGACGAACTTCTGCTGCTAAATCAGGACAAACTCAGGTCTGAGTTCTCGGTTCAGGTCCACAGAGAGAGAAACTGGATCTAGAATAGCCGCCGTCTGCCTCCTCACTCTGAGAACAGCACCCTCTGGTGACGGGCTGCAGTATAGGTCATAAACCCCCGCCTCCTTATGGAGCTGTGGACAAACTTTATAAATGAATGACACAGAATATAAATGTTTCTCCCCCCTGGTTGTGATGTTGACATGTAGTTACTGTCAGACTGGTTTGAGCTCAAGTCCTCTTTTTTCTGTACAGCTCCATTTTTAAAAGTTATTAGGGAGTTCATGTTTTCTATGATTGACACCTGATACAGCCAATGGGAGGACAGAGATTGAGTAGATCACCGGGGGATACGCTGTTTGAGCCGAGCGTCATCACAGAGACTCTCCGGCTGAATGTTGGTTTCAGGAAGTGAAGAAAAAAACTTTTCAGCTTTAAATCTGTAAACAGGCGGGAGGCGGAGCCAAGATGTCCAGAGTAAATACAGACTGTGGTCTTCCTCCATCAGAGTGCAGATCCAGCTCTCTCTGTGGTCCAGTTTCAGGGTCAGGGTGTATTTTTATCAGCATGGCGTGCTCACAGTCCGCTCGGTTTTGAATATCTGCACTCATTTAGTTTTCCTCTTTGAATCTGATCTGATCCTGGATCGTCTATCTGCAGGTTATTTCAGACTCGGACACGCCTCCTCCATCACACACCACCGCAGCTTTGAAATCCACATCCGCACTCTCTGTGGTTATCTCAGCGGCACACGGCGGAGGATCAGAGCGGCGCTGATTTGGATCATCAGCTGTTCTAACGACCGTCTGATAAAGAAACTCAGACCTGACCTGATCGACCTCCAACTGACGATCACAGAGGAGCGCAGGGGTGTGTGTGTGTGTGTGTGTGTGTGTGTGTGTGTGTGTGTGTGTGTGTGTGTGTCACACTCAGGTAATTATGGGATGTGTGCTGATGATGTCACTCTGAGCAGGTATGCAGACAGGTAAAGTGTGCGAGCTGCAGGTTAAATTGAAGGGCAGACTGGAGCTTCTGGCACGCCAACAAAGACGACGACCACGACGACAACAACAGGAGGCTCCGTTAGTGCTGACTCAGCAGGAAGACCGACACGGTCTGAACGGACACTTCCTGCTTCTATAACCAGCATTTCTTTCGGACCCCCAATTTCCACCACATCCAGAACAGCTCCGATCTGGAACGGCAGCGATTTTCACCGTCCACCAGTTCCTACCAGATCCGTTTGTGAGGCGAATTTCGTGGCGGATTACTGACAGCAGGAATCACGAGAAATCAGAAGAACCTGCAGATTCACGTTCAATCTCACGATAACGAGTTGTCTCTCTAAAGACAGACACATAGACATATAAGCAGTAGATTGTGTCCTTCCAGAGGAGGAAATCTACTTCTAGACTTCTAGAATCAGCATCTCCTCATCCATGGTGTCATCGGGGTGAAATGACGTCTAAAAACCTTTCACTTGTTCGTCTCCGCCCGTTTGCATGGTGTGAAATACGATCCTCCTGAAACACGGAGTGTTTTATTTTGAAAAGAAGCCGGATGTTTTATTTTGTGTCTGTGCCCGACTTCCTTTCCAGCACGGGTTAATCTGTGCTGAATTTATCCGCCATGCTCCGGCGTCCAGAAAAAATAGAACTCTTGTGATCAGCTGAGGAGTCCGGCGATCCGCAGAGGAACGGAAAGAAGTCGGTGTAAATTGACACGTTAACTTGAATGGTTACGATCAGCTACGATCGGAGGATACGACCTTTTAGGAGACGATCAGGATGAAGGTGGAGATTGGGGGTCAGAGGTCATCAGAGGATCTTAGTGTTGTTAAAGAACAGGGAGGTCACAGCGACAGTAAGACTCCAGTCACTCCAGTTAAAGGGTAAAACAGACTGACTGCTTTAGTCAGTTTTTGGTTTTATTTACATTTAAATAAAAAAAGTCGATAAAACTGAAAATTTCTGGTTCAACAGACTCGTCTGAAGAGTTTCTGATAAAATAGAGAAAAAAAGAGAAGAAACTCCGTCAGAACCTCCATCAGAACCTCCATCAGAACTTCTGTTCGAACTTCTGTCAGAACTTCTCTGGAGTTTATGGAGGACATGAAAACACACAGAGGCTGTGTCTCATTTCAGAGACCGCATCGTGATAAGCGCGCTTAACGGCGCTTAGCTGAGTGCACTGCCGTTTTGAGCCGTTTTACGCCGTTTTGCGCCGTTCTGTGCCCTTCCTGTGTCCCATTTCAGATACAGCAGCCATCGAACGGCGCATCTGACGCGTACGTGAGGTCACCACGCGGCATGAACGGTGTCCCGTTTGGCACAAAATACTAAGCGCGCTTCAAATTCGGTCTCAAAACCACACTACCCCCGCCTCGTTTTCAAGCGTGCATGTATGCACGCTTTCGTGCCGTCGGTATCCCAGAATTCTTTGCGTGCCGCTGCACAGCTGTGCATTTCAGGTGAGAGGCTGGACTCGCTTGGAGACACAGCGCGTCTTCGAAGAAAATACAAGCAATCCAAAACCATCAGACAGTCAGCTCAGGCTGTATGAGAGCATGATCTCTGAACTCACTAAAATCTGTAAACCAAACATTATAGATTTAGAGACGAACTGATCCGCTGTGTTACAACTATCAAAAACATTAGAAATGAGAAAGCTGACAAAACTACAGCAGAGTATCAGGACAACATTGAGGTTTTTTTTTCTTTTAAGATTTAGAGATTAAAGTTGTAAATTTAGGAGAATAAAATCATAAAGTAAATAAAGTCATAAAGCTGCTTTTGCGGAGGGGGAAATGACTGAAGCTGGTCATCTGCAGGGTTATCTGTGGATGTATCAGCGGGTCATTAAGAGAGATTTTGTGGTTTCTGAAGAAACAATCAAACTGATGATGATCAACATTTGTGATCCAGAGGGAGTCGAGCTCCGACGAGCACCACGTCTCTGACACCGGCGGTAGCCTACACCTGCAGAGACACCAACACCTTATTACTGCATATGGATTCATATCATAAATTACAGCTCAATGTCATTCACAGATATTTACGGCTGCATTGACAGATATATCCTCAGCATATTCATTTCTGCCTCCACAAAAGCAGCGATTTCCTTCAAGTACACAAATTTTTTCCCTGTGGAAAAGACGTATTTCTCATATATTCTTTTTAAAGTCTTTATACTTATGACAATGTTATGCTGATGTGCCAGAGGATGAAGAATCTCCTTGTTTGTGAAACCTATACTGAAGCACAGTTCCTTCAAATGCTTCATGGCCCTAATTTTAACAAGTCTCTCTGAAATAACAGGTTATGACTTCATTCTCATAAATTAATGACTTTATTCTCGTAAATTCACGACTTAAATCTCGAAGTCCTTAAAGTCTTAAATCTCAATATGGCCCTCATACTCCTTCTTACAAAACAATCATTGGATGAATTGTGCTTGTATGTATCTACTATTTTGTGTCTGTGCAAGGTCGCACAATTAAAACAATAAATGCTGCGCTCCGCGGGTTTCCTTTAAGTCAGTCGTGACGCGAGCCTGAGGGCGGGGACATTTGGCAACTCCACCAGGAAGTCCTCCGAAGGTCTCCAAATGTCCCCGCCCTCAGGCTTACGTCACGACTGATTAGAAAAAAGCTGCGGAGCGCAGCATGTATTGTTTTAATTGTGCGACCTTGCACAGACACAAAATAGTAGATACATACAAGCCCAGATCATTCCCACAAAATTAATCCAATGATTGTTTTGTATGAAGGAGTATGAGGGCCCTATTGAGAAGGAGGATAGGAGATACTTCATCCTCTGGCACATCAGCATCACATTGTCATAAGTAAAAAGACTTTAAAAAAAGAATATATGAGAAATACGTCTTTTCCACGGGGAAAAAAACTGGTGTACTTGAAGGAAATCGCTGCTTTTGTGGAGGCAGAAATGAATATGCTGAGGATATATCTGTCAATGCAGCCGTAAATATCCGTGAATGACATTGAGCTTTAATTTATGATATGAATCCATATGCCATAATAAGGTGTTGGTGTCTCTGCAGGTGTAGGCTACGGCCGGTGTCAGAGACGTGGTGCTCGTCGGAGCTCGACTCCCTCTGGATCACAAATGTTGATCATCATCAGTTTGATTGTTTCTTCAGAAACCACAAAATCTCTCTGAATGACCCGCTGATACATCCACAGATAACCCTGCAGATGACCAGCTTCAGTCATTGCCCCCTCCACAAAAGCAGCTTTATGACTTTATTTACTTTATGACTTTATTCTCCTAAATTTACAACTTTAATCTCTAAATCTTAAAAGAAAAAAACCTCAATGTTGTCCTGATACTCTGCTGTAGTTTTGTCAGCTTTCTTATTTCGAATGTTTTTGATTGTTGAAGCAGAGCGGATCAGTTCGTCTCTAAATCTATAATGTTTGGTTAACAGATTTTAGTGAGTTCAGAGATCATGCTCTCATACAGCCTGAGCTGACTGTCTGCTGTTTTTGGATTTCTTGTAATTTCTTCGAAGACGCGCTGTGTCTCCAAGCGAGTCCAGCCTCTCACCTGAAATGCGCAGCTGTGCAGCGGCACGCAAAGCATTCTGGGATACCGACGGCACGAAAGCGCGCATAAATCCACGCTTGAAAACATGCTAAGTGCGCTTAGCATTTTTTAGCATCTCGTGCCAAATGGGACACCGTTCGCACCGTTGTGACGTCATGCACGCTTCAAATGCACCGTTCGACGGTGCAGAAGGGCACTTAGGTCAATGCGGTCTCTGAAATGAGACACAGCCAGAGAGTCCAGACCTTTATTTAGATGAGTGTGTGAACAGTGACACCTGCTGGTCACCTCCTACATCACACCTGCTGGGTCCATCAACCACAGGAGAAACACACACCTGTCTGCTCTCACCTGACCAGGACCAGGACCAGGACCGCCTGACAGGTGGTTTAAAGGGGTCTAACCTGGACCTGTGTGTCCCTTGTTGAATGTTGTTTCTACCTGCTACAGAGGCTGAGATCTCAGCTGTTTTATAAACCTCAGGATCTGGGGTCTCAGACAGGGTTCAGGTCTTAAACAGAGAGATCCAAACCTGGACTGATGTCGTTCTCAGGAGTACTCACATGATCAGGGCCTCCCACTCAAAGAAGTTCTCCTCGTTCACTGGACCTGCAGAAACAAACAGACTCAACGTCAGACCAGCAGAAAGGTGGAGGTCAGACTGAGAGACGGACTTTACAGAGAGAATGAACCTGTTTCTGTATAAAGTCATATGGTCGTCCTCCATCACTGTATCGTACGACTGTTTTACTCTAAATGTCAGAAAAAGACGAACATCACAGCTGATATTGATTATGCTGATATAGCTGATCAAATCACCTCTGACTGTTTTCTTTAACCCTTTGTGTAGATTTGTTTGGACTCATCACTGTTTTCTGTTTGACTCACTGAACCGCTCATTTCATCCGCTTCATGTCCTTTTTAAACGTGTTTATCTCCACTGACCTTCATATTTAACAGAACTCTCCGTCCTCTCTCAGACAAATAAACTTCACATTTTTCTTTATTCCTTGAGTCTTTGAAGAAGTCGGTTAAAGATCGTTTTAGATTAGAATAACCTCTTTATGTTCTTTTACCTCTTTTTATCACTTCTGAATGACTCTGTGAAATGGTCTCTGATTAATTTTCTTTATTTTTTTCATTTATGTTCACATGATTCTTTTCCTTGTTCATAAGTTTTGTCTGTTTTAGGTGTTTGCTGGTTGGGGTTGTGTGTGTGTGGAGTAGGGTGTCTGTATTTGTTATCTGTTATGTGTGTTAATGTATCAGGGTTCTTCTTCTGTTATCAGACACTGACATGAAGAAGAATCTGAACATCTTTAGAACCTTTTAGTCAATAAAACATGAAAATATAAAGTCTCACCTGCAACGATCCCCTCAGGTGGGTTCAGGGTCAGCTCTGAAACACAAAAACACACACAGGGGGACTCACACTGTGACTCACCACATCTATGTGAATAACGACACAAACATACCTGAGCTCGGACAGGTATACTCAGGACAGGTGAGCTACTAAACTACTGTTAACTACTAAATAAGAACAAACAGCTAAACTCATATTAACATGTTTAAAGGTTGAAGAACACTCATGTGTCCATAAATTAACTGAAATATCATTTAAGCCAAATAAAACTCTGTCATTTAACACAAGAATCAAAGCTGGCCTCGATATGTCTGTGCGCACCAAACTCCATTCAAATATCAGCCAAATTTAAGACAGCGTTATAAAAACCAACCTGCCACTGCTGCTGCTGCTGCTCTGAGATTTCATCACACTTCTGTGGACTAAAACCTGAACTAAAGTGAAATATTACAACGCCAAAGTTAAGTTAACTTTCTACAGTTTAAAATACTGTTTAGTTTTACTGTAATGTTAAAGTGTGACTTTGACACAACAGCGGAACTTTAAATCGACTGTTTTTACGGTGATGTTTGGGGTAGAAGGATTAGCGGGCTCACTGAGGTATTAGCTTAGCCTGTTTAGCAAAACTCCGCGTTCTCTCATTGGTCGGATCAGGGGTGACGACACAGCTGGTCACGGTACTCACGTTTATACTCTGCCATGAGTCTCTTCAGTGCGGTTCCGGCCATCCCGGTCCAACTGAGACCAAACCCCGAACAAGAACCAGCTCCGAGTTTGACCCAAAACTACACCACCAAAACTGTGGCTACAGCTGATCCACTGCGCATGCTCGGGGGGGATTTCCTGTTGTTTGTGTTGGAGTGTTCCCCGAGAGCGCCTCCTGTGGACACACTGAAGAACAACAGCCTGAAACTGTTTATTTACTATTGTAGAATAAAAACAGCTGATCAGAGCAAAGAGGGGAAATATGAGAGAAAGAATAATTATTTAATAATAAGAGAGGAAAAATAATCTAATTTCACGTTCAGAACTTCAGTTTGTTCAAATCGACCCTAAAGAGCGGTAAGATTTCCTAAAACGTGAGAAAGATGAGATTAATTTCAAAACCCTCTCTCATGATCATTTCTAGTTCAGTAATTTTGAACTTTAATCCGTTTCTGTTCTGGTGTTTATTAACAATAATGTCTCAGTTATATCCAAATGATACTCTCTCTGGGCTCCTTAAATCTTCATAGTCATGTGGATTATTGTGAGACTCTCTGTCCAAACAGACACAGAAGGTCGATGAATATGAGAGAGTGAGAGAGCAGCATCAGGACTGTTTACAGGAGAAGTCTGTGGTGCAGCAGTACGGAGGCCGAGAACGGCCACTGCTGCGAGTAAAAAAGAATTTTAAAAAAGAAGCAACAACAGAAGTTAATGATGCAAAATAAAGTCGATATGAAGTTAAACTGAAGGATGTCGGTGTAGAGTTAGCTTCAGTTTAACTTCATATGGACTCAGGCGCTACATGATCTAAAATAACGACACATTAAAAAGTTTACGAAAAGAGATTGATCAATAACCTTTCCACGAACTTCTTTGCTCGTCTTCTCACTGTCGTCTTCTAGACCGTAAAACACCGGTGCATCATCATCATTTTTTTTTTATCTGCACCATTTCTTTTCTTATTTGTAGCGGGATTAAGTTTCCTTTTTTAAATAATTATATGTAATAATAAGAATAATAACAACAACAATAATAATAATGATGATGATAATAACAAAATAATAATAATAATAAAATAATAAAAATTATTAATAAAGAAGAAATAGTCATAATAACAATAATAATAATAGTAATAATAATAATAACAATAATAATAATTGTTCTCTTTCTCTCTGTCTCACCGTAAATGTTAAATTCAAATGTTGAATATTGAATTAAAAGTTTTTAAATGTTAAATAATAAAATCTAACCTCAAGTTTAAAAATATAGACATGTTCAATCTTCATTTTTCGTTCATGTTATCGATGTCTGTGCAGGTTCTCGTTGGTCCAGGTCCTGGTTTTCCAAGCCTTCGTTGAAAGGGGAACTGGACCTGTTCGAGGTTCTTCACCTCTTATCTAACATTTGATGTTTTAATATTCAACACTTCGGTTATTTTTTTAATTATTTCATGAAATAGAAATGAGTTGATCAGTGAAGGTGTGCGTCTGGTTCAGTTCTGTCTGAAGAGAAACGACGGCTCAGACGGTTGTTGTTTTTTTGTGATCGATTTATTGTTTCTGTGATAACTACAGTCGTAGTGTCTCGTACATGTCCTCTGCAGCTCATCACACTCAGATATATTTATAAAAATGAGAAAAACATCATCTACATACACCTAATAGAAAAACAGGGTCAGTCAGAGTGAGTCACTGCTTTAATAACAATAATAATAATAATAATAATAATAATGAGGAGGAGGAGGGATGACTGTGAAAGGATGTGCTGGCTCTCTGATGCTCCTATGATGATATTAATATAATCAATCTGTGCTTTAAATAAGTCTAAAAATAAAACCATCTGAAACACAAACACACACCGGAGAGCAGGCGCGGGGGAGAACATACACACACTCTCACACACACACACACACACACACATGTACACACACACACACACACACACACACACACACACACACCTGTGACGACGTCAGGAGGATCTTTGGTTGGTGAAGCTCTCAGTTAAAGAGTCGGACTAAAGAACAGCTGGAATGTGACAGAGTCAGACTTTGACAGCAGAGACCAGGTCAAGGTCTAAACCTGAACCCCTCAGACGGAGCGCCGAGAGTCTGTCTGTGTTTTTAAGGCTGATGGTTCGAGGCACAGGAGACGGCAGCTGAAGACGAACTCATGTCAAAGTCAAAAACAACGACCAAGAAAGAAACACGAAGAAGAAAGAGCTGAGCACGTCAGAGGGGGAGGAGCTAAACTCCAAAAATCACTAACTGTGTCTTTATCTGTACAAACTCCTCCTCCAGAACTGAGCCTCACGTTCACAGAAACATCCAGACCGTCGACACAGAGAGACAAACCAGAGCTCAGAGGGTCAGACCCGCTCTGTTCTGGTTCTGCTCTGGTTCTGTTCTGGAGTCTGTTATCGGTCCTCCCAGAGAGACAAGTTTTCATGAGACTTCAGATAAATCAGATTCTCTTTGAGGAAAAAATTAAGTTCTTGTTTTAAAATAAAAATGTTTAAAGAATTAAAGTCCAGAAGTTTCTGACCACCAGTCTGAGCGGACCTCCTCTCCTTGGATGTCGTGTTTCAGGATCATGTGACCCTCAGTCAGTCTGGACTGTACGTCACTCAGGTCGTTTACAGCCGATCATACTCCGACTTCGCTGGTTACATGGGAGAGAAAATTGAATTCTGACTGTAATCAGAGTTCTGAAACTCCGATTACAGTCGGACTAAGGTGTTTACATGACCTTCAGTTGTCCGGTCTTAATCGGAATAAGGCGATAATTCGGTTTTCTCGAGTGTCATGGAAACGGACTGAGCGATACTCCCTTCAACATGTCGTTAGTCGTAAAGATGAGTGAACTCTGTGAATGTGAGACTCAGTCCTCCTCACCCGGACTCTCACCTGGACTCTCACCTGGACCCTCACCTGGGAGCCGCTCTGATGTCTCAACAGAACAGGTGTCGTATTTCAGACCTGCACGTTTCCTTCTGTGGTTGTTTTTGGCGGTCTGTGAAGACCCCCGGCTCCCTCAGACTCTCAAACAGGTTTTCATCAGGACAGACCAGGTTACATCAAAGTCAAATTTACTCCTCAGCGCCACCTGCTGCTGAGTCTCTTTCACTTTCATCGGGAAGTTAAAGATTTCTCTGATCTGAGTCTCGTGTTTCATGTCCTGATAAAGAAAACCTGTTTGCAGAAGAGGACCGGCGAGGGGGCGGGGCTTCTGTTCTCCTCAGGGGTAAGGTGGGCGGGGCTTATCACACAGCATGGTGCTCAATAAAACATGCAGGAGGAAGAATAAACATGAAGAAGAGTGGGGGCTGGAGGTGGAGACTGTTAAAAATCATGTGACCTGTAAAACCCCGCCCACCTGCTGCTCCTCCAATAACAACAACAACGACAATCACACAGTCTGTTATTTAAGGGTCGGTCTGGTCCTGATCAGGTCTGACAGGATCCTCCTCCCCCTTCTGCTTCACTCCTCCTCCTCCTCCTCTTCTTCCTCCTCCTCTCCAGCCATCACCTCCACCAGCAGCTCGGCGGTACACGTCGCCTCCCCGAGACTGTTTACCGCCTTAACCGTGTACTTGGCGTCGTCATCACCTGACACCTGCAGGAACACGGAGAATGACATCATCACTGACGTGTGTATGATTCCAACATGGCCGACACACGGTGGCAGTCTTGACCTCTGACCTCTGAAATGACCAGGCTGCAGTTCCCGTCCTCGTCGTAGTCGATCTGAAAGTGTCGCGTCTCTTTGATCGGCTGGTCGTCTTTGTACCAGACCACCTCGGGGTCGGGGTAACCTGAGGACACACAGCAGGGGGCTCAGACCACATCCACCCACAACTTCCACCGCAGCCAGAACGGCGGCGATTTAAATGGTGGGATTAAAATAAAATCAACAAATGTGTTTGTGTGAAGTTAGTTTCAGGTTGGATATATTTTCCTGTAGATACGGCGGTGAAGTTAGTTTCAGGTTGGATATTGTTGTGTCTGGGCTGTCCTCGATGTGTAGATGCAGAAGGAGGCTTCGTGACACTGGCTTGCTTGTATAAGAGGAGTTGATTATAAAGACAAAAACCAGTATCAATACAGCACTGCAGTTGCTGGGAGAGGACTGCCAATGATGTCCAGCTCTCTCAAACCAGAGTTTGTGACCCTGTTATATACAGTTAGGGCTGTACGCCCTCCTACATTTTTAGTTTGTTCTGAGCTAACTTTCCTTACCCTCTGGTGTTTGCGTAACATAGAGTGGTGGTGACCTGTGAAGTGTGCCTTCCAGGACATCTCACCCCAGGTGTCATTGATGCTAAATAAGGCAAACATAAGCCCACATCCCAAAGTTGGCTCTCAGGCTATTCCTGAGAAATACCTTAAGGCACTGCATATTGCTGTAGTACTCCAGATACCACAATATATTTTCCTGTAAATACGGCGGTGAAGTTAGTTTCAGGTTGGATATATTTTTCTGTAAATACGGCGGTGAAGTTAGTTTCAGGTTGGATATATTCTCCTGTAAATACGGCGGTGAAGTTAGTTTCAGGTTGGATATATTTTCCTGTAAATACAGCGGTGAAGTTAGTTTTAGGTTGGATATATTTTCCTGTACATACGGCGGTGAAGTTAGTTTCAGGTTGGATATATTTTCCTGTAAATACGGCGGAGAAGTTAGTTTCAGGTTGGATATATTTTCCTGTAAATACGGCGGTGAAGTTAGTTTTAGGTTGGATATATTTTCCTGTAAATACGGCGGAGAAGTTAGTTTTAGGTTGGATATATTTTCCTGTAAATACGGCGGTGAAGTTAGTTTTAGGTTGGATATATTTTCCTGTAAATACGGCAGTGAAGTTAGTTTTAGGTTGGATATATTCTCCTGTAAATATGGCGGTGAAGTTAGTTTTAGGTTGGATATATTTTCCTGTAAATACGGCGGTGAAGTTAGTTTCAGGTTGGATATATTTTCCTGTAAATACGGCGGTGAAGTTAGTTTTAGGTTGGATATATTTTCCT